AGTATTCTCGCCGTTCCACTTCTGCAGCTTCTTGTCAGCGGGTTGGGCGCATTCACATTTGGATGGGGCAGCGTGCGAGTAAGTGCAAACCGCAACAAAGGGCTGGGCTCTTCTGGCGAGAATGGGCGGAGATCATGACGAACAGCTCTGCTTCGTACCGTGGTCGGGAACATCCCCCCCCCGTCAGCTTCAAGTGGCGTGAGAATGCAGATGGCCCGAATTGGACTTTGCAATCCGGACCTGCGGAAATGCTACGGGGTTCTCAAACAAGCCCAGACTACAGCGCGAAGCAGCCAAGCAGCGGAAACCTCTCACTTTGTCGAGATTTGTATCTGTCGAGCATAATACGCGTTCCCTCGTCTATGACAGCCCACTCCCACGGCGAGCGAGAGGGAGAAGGATGCGGGGCATAAGAGTGGCAGGCCGAGCTTGTACATACATCTTCGGATATTACATGCTCGACCACACATACGCGAATGCCGTTGCAAGTTCTTTTGGGCCTTTCCTGCACTGCCAATTAGGGGAAGTCAGATACCTACCGATATGAAACTGACAGGTTCTGGCCTTTGCAAAGAGAACTCAGGGGTTCCAGCCTTTGCAAAGAACGCCAAGGGCCACGCTTGGCGGCCTGGTCGTTGTATTCGGTGTTTCTCATCGACGATTTCGAGGACGCAGACAGAGGCAGCGGAGTGCACGCTGGTTCTGGAATCCGTCCAACGAGGGGGCGTGTCGGTCTGGACGCAAGGGGGGCGTGAGGAGACGCCAGCCAACCTCAAGTCCCCGCAGCCAGGGACGGGGAGATTAGTGTCGACTTGGGGGTCCCGGCCGCCACGTGCAAAAGGAACCGCAATCCCTGTCTGCTCAACACTCGATCGAGACTTGCAATTGGTGCTCGTTGCCATCCTGAGCAGCCACAGCTCGAGCCTGAGCGTTGGAAACCAGCCAGCAATTGACTGGCAAGCCTCGCCGCGGGACGAACCTTGTGCTTGGTCGATCTGCTCGGACATTGTCTGAGCTGCAATGGAGGCTTTTGTTGCGTGGAGCGCATCTTGCTGGCCTTTTGCACGGCTTTCCGGCGCATGCCGCTCGGAGATGACGGGCGCTCATGGGCAGCGCTTAAACGCAGTGCTATGCCGTGCCTCCCTGGACACACCGGACTTGTCCGCATGCTACCCCCCCAACACAGACCGCCGTCGCAAACCACGCAGGAAGAAAAAAGGAAAGGCCATCATCGCCATAGCGCAGCAAGAACATGCACGGATGCAAGTTGTATCTGCGCCCGGAGTCTTCAAATCTGTCCTCATCGGCGGATTGCAAGCCACACAGCCGGACATTTCCAGCGTAGGCACCAAAAATTGCCGCAATCGCCTAGCTTTGCGCAAGCCCTGCGAGGGACTCAGGGGTTTGCTACTGCAAGTGGGAAGTGGCGCAAGCAGTTCGGCGGATTTACTTCAAGCCTCTCGAAACCTTCGAGATATGCATCTTTTTCTGGCCAAGGGCGCGGCATTCGAGTGCTACGGCTACAAACTAAGGCCATGGAGCAAGGGGGCATGTTGTCAGAACTGACTAGCCCACGAGATACAATCTCGCATCTCGGCCACTCACGTTGCTTCCCGACAAATTCTTTTTTGGCTCCCACATGGCAAAAATACCATAGCGCGATGGATGGTGCAAGGAGACAGAATCAAGATGCTCTGCATGGTTCTAGCCCACGCCGAGTCGTGGAGCCATGTCTTGTTTCGATCTCAGCTGCGTCTTTGCCACAATGTGCGAGATTGCACGCACGGGGCAGCGGACGTGTGCTCGCCATTCGCGCTCTGGATCGATGCGTGCGAGGCCGGACATGCGCAGGTTGGCAAGCTCTCCTGCGGCGACGATGGCTTCGGCCTGTGAAGCAGTCCGTGCAATGCCAACCAGACGGCAGTTACCTCATGGAGCAGCAGAACTTGCGAGCCTGACGAGACGCGCTGAAGCGGCTGTGCCCGCCCATCCGGTCTAGCTTAGTGTCGATGCACAGTTCCATTGGGATACGCCCAGCAGCGCTCATCCCACGTGTGCTCTATATTGCCATGAGCCTGTTCAGGCTTGGTTGGTTCCCCGATCCTAAGCAGCTACGATGAGGCCCCTGTCTGGAAGAGCACGCCCGGCAACTCCTGAGTGCGGGGATGCTATCATGTATGAGTGCTGGTACTGTACGGTGGCATCTGAGCGAGGGCTTTTCTTTCTTCGGCTCGGCGAATCTGCCCATTGTGTGCCAGGTGCGAAGTGGTGATATGCCATAGGGAAGAATTCGCCGGTTGGCTGTCCTACCGGTGAGGGCGATTGATCAAGAAACGCGGGTTCGCAGACTTGCGTTTCGAGGACGAGTTGCGCCAGTCTTGCGATACTCGATCCCCCCTCTCCTCCGCCAAGATGTCCCTCGTCTTTGCGCCTTCTTGTTTCTGGCGTTGCAAGGCCAGGCACTCCGCAGAACGGATCTGGATGTTAGGCATTTTCCAAGGCGGGGAAAAGCCTCCGAGGGGTTTCGGGCGGCAAGTTGCGGCCAAGAAAGGACCGTGTCACCCTATGGGAATGTCGCCTTCAGCTGCAAAGGACGAAGTAACCAGCACCGGCATCAGCCTCGAGAACCGGGGCTCGCAGAGGTGCCAGAAGGGAGGGTTAGAACCACTTCACAGTGGCCCTTTCGCCCCCTACAAGTGGGCTCCGTCCATGTGTCGCGATGCAGGCGCTGGCAAACGAGGGCCAACCACCGCAACAGGCGGCGGCAGCTGCAGGAAACCTTGGGCGTAAGCTCGAGGAGGTTGCAGTGATCCAGAAGCGAAAGCGGGTTTCCATGCAGCCTGCTGCCTCTTGTGGCATATCAATGGGGAAGTGCGTATAGAGGCACGGCATTTTCGGCACGGGGTTTCCTGCTTGGCTCATTAGCATACTATGACCACTGCTACTCGTGGTATATCGTGGTGCTGGTGGTGTGTTTCTGCTTTTCCCGAATTCTGCAGGGTAGCTGACGACAGACGACGAGCCCGGGCGTGCGCTCAGTCTCGCCTCGCACGGGACCTTGCATGGAATTTCAGGACATTACGGAGCACAGGCGCCTCGTGCGACGGAGAAAGCAAAGGATCGACATGCGTGTCACTGGAGATCCATGGGGCCTGACGGATCTAATGGTCATCACTACAAACTACCCTTGTGCTTGTGCCTGTCTGGAGGATCGTCGCCTCCCGACGAGCGGAGAGTTCTTCATCCGGCACCCGGACAAAGTACTGCTACAAGGTGTGTGTCTGCATCACCTTGGCTCGCCTGATCTATGACATCGAAGACTGCATCGTGAAAGCGATATCTGAGGCGCCACGGTATGACGAACCGCTCTCGTCTCGCCTCACGAGGCAAGGTTCTCCCATGTACCTGGCACATCCCGCCTCACTCGACTCAGCCAGCCCACAAGGGATGCCCATGTGAGGGTGTCGCTAATGCTGTGGTGATATTTCCTTTGCTCATCTCAGGGCACCAACTGTACCACTCAAGCCACCGTATTCGTCCGTTGAGGAGAGGCAGGCAAGATCATGCCAAGCTGGGACCTCCAAGAGGGGTTGCCACACCTGGAGAGGGAAACAACCGGATCCTCCTCTTGCTGAGGCGTACATACACGGGAAACAGAGTGGAGAGTGGAGGGAGGGGAGGGCAGAGAAAGCTCATCCATGACCTGGCACACCACAGATGCTACTCGAATGGCAATCGGGCGTCAAAGTTCCCCCGTCCGAGGCGTCGGTACGCAGCACAGAAGCTCGAGGACACGCGAATTCGCAGTAGCCCTGGTGTCAATGCATGATAGTAGTAGCACCGCCTGTACGGAGGAAGCCGGACGCATTGCAACCAGCATCTCCCCCAAGTGACACAGATCCTTCTAGTCATGGAGAACTTACTTGATCCACCCCCTTCCCCCCTTTTTTTTGCGCCGGAACCTTTCACAACGCCGCGAGTACTAAGAGCGTGAATCAAAGGTACGAAAGTGGTGCAAGTCTCTGCTCAAGTGCTTTCATCCTTGCCTTCACCGGTTCACGGGACGAGCCACGGGAGCGGCTGCACGGAAAGCTCGTCCTGATTGTTACGCAGCGTGTTGCAAGGGGGGAGGGGGAGAGAGAGCTCGCGAGTGAGGAGGTAAACTCCTTGTTAGCAGCAGTAACACCGCATGCGAGTTGTCTATGCTGTGAACCGAGTTCATAACACACTACCAAGGCACTGGGATCCTTTATTGAAGAAGAAGAAGAAGAGGAAGAAAGGAAGGAAGGAAAAGAGACCGCCGAAATTGGCAATGACTGGTGGTTGCCAAGGACTCTCCTTGGGAAGAGAACGGCCCTCGGCCCTCCCCCCTTTTGCTCCCGGAACATGATGACCAGTAGAGAGTGTTTCACCTCACAAGGTACTGCATTTGTCCTTTCTCTAGCTCTGCAGAAGAAGGAACCGAACAGTTCCGACAACAGACTATCACAAGAGCCACAAGAAGCTAAAGGCGGGAAAGAAGAAGGGGGGGGGGCGGGGGAGGCACTGAGTGTGAGGGATGCAGCTCTCTGAGACATTACCGATCTCATGATGTGTCGAGCACCGGGAGGGATCGGGGAGAGGACAGCAGAGAGAGCCAGAAGAGCTCGCTTGGCAGGAACACGAGACATCTGGGAGAGGAAGAAGAAAAGGTGAGACATCTTTATCTTCATCTACACAAGGTACTGAAGGGCTGATGTGAATACTACGCGCAACGTATCTGCCGAGACCTATGTTAGTGCTTGATTCTCTCTCCCTTTTTTCCAATTCTTCTCGATTGCCCTCATAAAGGGCTTGTTTGCCCCGGAATGCTAAATGCGTCTATAAGCTTCCATTAATGCTGCAGTAATAGTATGCCGCGCTGTGTATCTGTATCTGGATTTGACCCAAAGTTGCCCTCTAGAGTATCTTTCATCCTCCCTGAACCCCGGCACATGCTTCCACCTTTGCGAAATTCCAAATCAGAAGCGCAACGCGTTGGACAGCTCAAGCGTCATCTTCCCGTCCGCCTGTCTCACCACCCTCACGCTCTCGAGGTCCTTGACCACCCAGTCTGGCTCGGCCGCCACGACCTGTTCCACAGTGTGGCTCGTTACCAGTCCCAGGACCTTGCACCCGGCCGCTTTTCCAGCCTTGATGCCTGCTGGGCTGTCCTCGAGAACAAGGACCTCCCCGGCCTTGTCCTGCAGCCCGAGCTTCTCGAGGCCGATGAGGTAGCAGGTCGGATCGGGTTTGCCGTTCTCGACAGACTCCGCGGAAACGAGATGCTCCGGAGTGCCAAGAGACAGCCGCTCCAGCCAGCCCCTGACCAGGGGCTGGGTGCCAGACGTGACGATGGCCCAGGGGAAGGAAACAGAGATGATGGAGGAGAGGAGCGAGCGGGCGCCGGGGATCTCCACCACGTCGTCGGCGTACCGCTTCGGGAGCTCAGCCTCCATTTTCGTGACATCTGTGGGTGCACAGTTAGTCCCGATCCTCCTGGGGAAAATGGAGGCTTTGTGAGATGTCAAAGGAAAGAATTTCAGTCTGTGTGAGGAGGCCTCAGCGACAGAATGGGAAGGCGTCGGCATGATACGAAAAGCCACATTGCGCCCCCCCGATGACCTCGATGGCAACGAGTCATCAGATGACACGGAAGTCTACCACGACTCACATTCCCAATTGGCCTTTTCAGGTGCAAGGATCTTCAAGATGTCTATACTCCGGCGGCCATGAGACGTCTCCAGGATGACTTCTGGGGCGACACCGATTTCTTCACCGACTCTTTGGGATCTCTCGTTAGCACACCCAAACTATCTTGGAGAGTGTCTGGTTCAGAGGACTTGAGGGGGGTCGTTACGTCTGCCAATGCTTGACAACAGCTGGAGTAGAGTCGATAATGGTCCCATCCATGTCAAACAAGAAGCCCGAGAAGGAAACCTCTTGTGGCGGAAGGCTGTAGTCTGGTTGAGATCCCATGTTGTCGGTTCTCTGGAAGCAACGGTGATGTGATGTAGCTCAGAAGAATAAACTCTTGCTGTTGAAGCGTAGTCGCACGTCAGGTTAATAGAGCGCTGATTAACGGTCTGTCCTTGACCCAATGAAGCCGCAATGTGTTCTTATATCGATGACAAAAGCGGGATCGATCCGAGGTAGGAGACGATTCGAGATTGCAACCCCCACGTGGCAGTTCCGCACCTGCGGGGCTTCCCCAGCAGGTTAGATCCCATCTCTAAAAGAACGCAGAAAGGCTATCCGCAGCACTGTGACTAACGACGATTTCTGCGAAGGTGCGAAACCGCGAAAGATTCTTCTTGTTGATTTCGACGGAGCTTCCGTTTCTAGGGCAAGGTGAGATGATGGCGCAGGCTGCGTCTCACATCTAGCCGGATCCTCACGTCAGGCTTCAAGCTTGTCCTGCAATTGAGGATGACTTGTAAGCCTTCTCAATGGCCCCGACGGCGTCATAATCATAGCACCAGTCTCTTGTTCCCTTGTCAATGATGCCTCCTGGTCCAAGCCGTTGACCCCTTTGCGTACTCTTGCGAATGAAGTTGCCCCTACTGGTATCACTTTCCGGGGGCCAAACTTGCGCCTCGTGGGAATGACCAAGAGCCTCATAGAGAACACTGCGTTCGATCTCATCTGATGTATGGGAGGAATCGCCGCCGTGTAAACTGGCCTCCTGGACAGCCTCTACCCTGGGCTTCCTCACTAGTTCAAAGATATGCAGCGCGTGCTTGAGCTTGGAGGCGACCTCTTTGCTTCCTTCTCGGGCGAAACTTGGGTCGTTGTCAGGGGGGCAAGCCAAGTCTAGCACTGCCACAAGTGCAGCTGCATCTTCGACGGCTATGCTCACGCCCATGGACATGTAGAAGGCCATGGCATGAGCAGCGTCGCCTATGAGCACAAATCGACCCGACTCGTGAGCCCAGGAGGGCAACGGCGGCACGGCATACACAGGGTAGTTGGCAATTTGTGGACGCGAAAGATCTAGGATACGCTGAACTCTGCCAACAGCTCCGTTAGCAATTGGGCCACGTCGTATCTCATCGAAGCTGGAACTATACCTACCGGGGCTCAAAGTCTTGAAATAGATTCCGGACCGTCTTATTGTATTCACTGGGGTTGAAGTCTTTGGTACAGATATCGTCTCGGTGAGAGAGGACAATATTTAGCAGAGTCGCATCTTTGATCAAGTATGTCATGCATGATAGATGCGGAGCAATCCACCAGTTGGAGCTGCGAGATTGGAGGTCTATCAGGCTCGCGACAGCTGGGTCCGCCCTAAGTTTGGAAACCTCGGCCGTCATACGAAAAGCAGCCCACCCAGTGGGCTGGCTTCCGGGATCTTTGGAGCCCAGAAGCTTAGATCGGGCGAGGGAGTTGATACCTAAGAAGCACGGTAACAGTAAGTATGCCGCGTAGCTGATCGATATGAAGTGGCCTTCCCATCCGAACAATACGCACCATCAGCAGCGACGACGAGGTCCGCCGTCAGCCAATTGCCGTTTCGGAGCTGGACCGCTCCGTTGGCAAAGTCATACTCGACAACGCCACTGTCCAGCAGCACTTGCGCCCCAGCTCGGACGGCATGACGATGCAATATGGCGTGCAAGACGGCGCGATGAACGACGATGTAAGGGGCGCCATACTGAACTTCCATATCCTTGACCAGGACAGTTCCCAGTAGGTCGCCGCTTTGCCCATCCCTCACATACAGGTTTTCCGGGATGATGGACTCCGAGAGCAAGTCATCCTTGAGACCCCACTTGAAGAGATATCTGATTGCTTGGGGTGTCATTTGGACGCCCGCACCCAGTTCGGCAAGTTGAGGAGCAGCGTCCAGGATTGTGATTTGGTGTCCAGCCTGGCCGAGGGCAATGGCAAGCGAAAGGCCCGCAATGCCTGCTCCAACTATGATGACTCTCATGCTCAGTGGTTCGGCTATAAGGTCTGCATATAGCTCTGGCCCCGAAGAGACGACGATGTTGTTTTGTTATACAGCCTGCAAAGATGGGCACACTATCATTGCCTGACGCTCGTACCAGCAGACTCAATTCCCTGTTTCCAGATGCTATCAAAAGCTACAGCCCAGTTGGCGGCTGTCGTGTCTCCAATCGAAGCTGCCAACTCTGCAGAGCTGGGTGGCAACGTACAGGTAATCAATCACACGCCACTAATGCGGGAGTGATGGAGGGTCGCTTGAAGTCGAGAGTAAGGCTGCGTGTAAGACCAATGTTGTTGGCCTTTTATCCTTCGGATGCCGCAAGCCCGCTTGGATGCCCGCTTTGGGTCTGTTGGATCCGGATGGTGGACGAAACAAGAGGGAAGCGGCCGAGAGGGAGATGCAGACTCTGTTGGTCAGCGTCTTATCGAGCAGCTACCTGGCAGTGTGTGAGTTGGTGATGCAGCAGCAATGCAGGCTGGTATGGGGCCAATACTCGTACAAATCTTGGAGAAGTGCGCACAACTTGTATCTTGTATCAAGGTGATGGTTTGGAGTTGAGGTTTGTGAGAGGCAGAGTTTGAGTTAGTATTCTGAGCCCAGGAAATGCATTGAGTTTCATGACATTGATGCTGATTGATTCACTCACGTGAGGCCAGCACTCATGCGCATCAATTTAGGCAATTGCACGAGAGCGCACCTTCTCCCGATAGCTTGCTTTGTATCGTGGTCATGTCAACCTTGGCAAGAACCCCACGCCGTCCCAATGTGACGCTGCCACCTTCCGGTATTAGACGAACCCGAGATACGGCTTACTGCTTCGGAGTTTGTAGCACAAGGCAAGGCAGGTACGACTTGAATTTTACATGTACCTACATGGCATCTCCGCCGGGCGAAGCAGCAGAGGACAAGTACCAATTGAGTAGAATGAAGGTTGAGATGCGCCCGAAGCAGAATCTACCCCGCGATCCCCCGCTGCTATCATACAAGGAATACGAATCGGTACAGACAGACAGCGCTTCTACAGTACAGCATGTAGTCCTCAACTAGGTATCATCAATTGAAATGTTCACTTGAACCTACCTATGTACTACCACCTAAGATTAGCATCCAGCCTTGTCATAGCTTTAGGGTAGTCAATCGTCAAGATCTCACATACTGTAGCTACTACTTAGGTAAATGGAGGCTCCGTGTTGATTAATCACCCAAAGATGGGAATCTCCCAAACCCTGCAAAGTTGGTCTGATTCAATATCATCATTTTTTCCGCTCTGGTGTTAGGCTGGCTGCGGGCACGGATCCGAAAGCTTTAACCCCCCAACTATCACTAGTAGTGTCTATCTATCCACCTCCCCCGCACCTCGGAAAGATTCAGGGTAAACAAGCGCGACAGGGCACCAACAGATGTGCTTGTATGCTTGCTTCCTGCATCTACCTCCTACCTACTACTAGGTACCTAGTAGTATTACTCCTAGACTGGGAATGTGAGTGGCCCTGAGGAACTTGTTTGTCTTGCCATCTTCGTGCTACTTGATTGACCTGATAACAACCAGGACATAACGGAGCATTGCCCATTCATTACCAAGACGCCGAGGGCATGCATGCTCTTCTGCTTACGTCGCTTACCCGGATATAAAGTTGCCTTGGGGCGGCTCTAGTGCTTTCCCAAGCTTCTCTGTGGCTTACCGGCTGAGCATCATCAGCTCTTGTACTTGCTCGAAGGTGACATATTTCGGCTGCTTACTCGTGCCATTCATTGCCTGATCTAGAGGTATATGTACCCCGAGCTTGGGCATTGGAGTCGTTCTCAGACCTTTACCGATTCCTCCATACACACGAACTCGACGTTGCGATACCTTTTTTTTCTGGATATACTCAGTATCTTGCTCCATGGGTTCTCAGGTGAATGACGAGCTGACAGTGCTGGTCACTGGATTCCAGGTTTGTCCCCGCGCCGCTTCATCCCCTTATACGCAGCCGCATAGGGGCTAACTCTTAACAATTCACAGCCCTTCCGGTCAGAATATCCCATCAATCCCTCGTGGGAAATCGCCAAAGGCCTCCCGGAATACCTCCCGCCGCGGAGAGCCAAGGACCCAAACTCGCGACATGCCGTCGACATCCCGCCCGTGCGCATCCTGGTGCACCCCGAACCCCTCCGAGTCAGCTACAAGGTCGTAAGGGAGACGGTGCCATCGTTCTGGGGGGAGACGTATCAGGACCGCAAGATTGACGTCGTCATCCACATTGGCATGGCCGGCCCGCGGCTCATGTACCAGATCGAGAGCCGAGGACATCGTACCGGATACAAGGCTCGCGATGTGGACGGCAAGCACCTAGATGAGCTGGAAGGGAAGCGGGACGAAGAGTGGGTTTGGCATGGCCTTCCCGATGAGCTGCGGACGGACTTGGACATTCGGGATATCTGGGAGAGGTGGCAGCAGCATACACCGGTAAGGATGATGTGAATGATGACAGCCCGCCACACCAATTGGCGGGCTCTGCTTGAAGCTGCGGTTGAGCTGACGTATCGAGTTAGGGCGACCTGGACCTCCGCATCTCTGACGACGCTGGACGCTACCTGTGCGATTTTATCTACTACTCAAGTCTGGCGTCCTGTCATAAGCAGGGCAAGGAGAGGAAAGTCATCTTCCTTCACGTGCCGGCCGATGGCTCTGAAGCTGTGATCAAGCAAGGGCAGGAGGTGGCGGTGAACCTCATTCGGTCTATAGTGGAGAGCGAAGTGGCCAAGAAGCAGCAGCAGCAGCAGCAGCAAACGACGGAGGCAACGTCTTGAATCGTGCCTGAACAGCTTGCGAGTTTGGGGGTTGGCCTTCTAGGGGTTCGGACACTCGGTTATCGGTCATCGGTATAGCGGCCCTCGGGGACTTATTGGAACGGAACGGGTGAAATGGAAGGCTCTCGGTTACAGTTTCTTTTGGAGGCGTTCCAAGCAAAGAGATGGGTAAGACTGAGATTACGCTTTTGGATTGCAATGACATCAGACGCGACGGTTGGATCGGGGGAGTGTATGTTTGGAGGGAATCTGCAATGGTAGGCATTTCTTCCATAGCAGTAAAGGAGGGAACATATCTTCATTCACAGTAGGTACATACCTAGCTATTAAGATATTCATATCTATTCTTCATCCAATTACCGTTCACCATTCTCAGTGACCTCTTATCATACGACAGTTCCGTGAGATGATTTTCTAGAATGACATCTTGAATGGCATCTTCGGCGAATTTCCACAGTTAACCCAAATCATGGTCGCCGTTTTCCCCGGCAAAAGTCACTTTGTATCTTGCCCGGGCGGGGCGGGGCGTCGCCGATTTTGGTCACCTTGACGCTTGCCGGCCCGGCGACCACCTTTTATGTTTTTTTTGCCGCTCGAATTCGAAGCGGCTTTATCTAGACGACTTGTTCCACTTCCTCTTCACTTCTGTACCCTCATCTGTAATTATATTTTTCTCAAGATATATCCCCCTGAAAATTACAATTTTTAGTCGTCTAAATATTTCTCACCTTCGAAAGTTTAGAGTCTAAAGAATACACAAATAAATCATGTGTCGAAGCGCAGTTTGCAGCACCTGCAGTAAGCCTGTCCCCCGCACAGCCCTTTACTGATCCGATCATCCCAGCTCGGCATATAGCAACACATCTCAACACACACACACACATACACACACATACACACAATTCACACAAACCATAGAAAGAAAAAAATCTTCCCATCTACTTCATTTCACTGACGCAAAATCATAAACAGAAAAACAAACCTGGTGGGGCTGCGGCAAGCACATCCCCTCCGTGCTCGACTCCGTCCCCGAGGACAGCTGGTGCACCTGCGAGCCCAAGGTCGAGCGGGACGGCAAGGCGTATCCGCCCATGGCCAAGCAGCCGAATTGACTCGTTGGATGGATCGCGGGCTTGGTCCTGTGGATGAAGGGGAAGAGGGCGGTGTGGGATGCGGAGGGGGTGGTTGAGGGGGAGTTGCGCGGTGGGAGGTGAGGCGTCTTGGTGTTGATGTATTTCGTTGGTTGATGGAGGGGGAGGCTGTGTTTGCATGTGTTCATCATCGGGTGTGGGATGGGGATAGAAGGGTGGTCATTGAGTAGGTATGGGATTGGGATTGGGATGAATGTGAATGGTTGGGATAAAGATCCATAGGCTGAAAGACCTCGCCGCTTCCATGTGTACCTTACATAGAACTGAGCAAATTCATATCGGTTCAACAAAACACTGCTACAAAGTGCCGTGCTCATTCCTCATCCTCATCCAAAAACATCCAGATACTTCCTTTCCCTACACCTCCTCCTAATCACAACCAACACAACAACGGAGTAAAACAGACTGGCTTAACCCACGCAGAGCAGTGACGCCTCACCTCCTCCTCGCACCCCCCACAGCACCCGCATCGCCCCTCTCCGCAAGGCTCACAACCTCCTGGATGCCCGCCGCCTCCTGCTCCTCCTCCAGCGCCGTAATCTCCTCGCGGCAGTCCCACCACTTCTCCTCGCTGAGCTCAAACGCCTTGGCCTTGATCTCCTTGATGGCCAGCGTCTCCGGCTGGATGTTCTTCCAGCGGAGGTTCGTCATGAGAATCTCCTGCCATTCGGCGGAGGTGCGGACAAAGAATTCGCGGCGTGACTCAAATGGCTATTTTGTTTCCAGATCGTTAGAGCGAATTTGCTTGCCAACGCGAGCAGGTATATTGACGGGCGTAGAATGAAAGAAGGGAGGAGGAAAAAGTTAAAGATATCACTTACCCTTGGGTGTGGCAGACCATCGTCGACCGACGTGGCAGCTGTCTCGCTCTCATCCTCTTCCGATGTAGTCGAGGGCGTGGGCGGTGCCTCAGAAGACACCTCGGATACTTCGTCTTGCTTCTTCTTGCGCTTGCTTGCCGTGTGAAGCTGCTCCGGTTCTTGGTAGTCCTCATCCTCCTCTTCCTCGTCTTCATCTTCGTCTTCTTCGTCCTCATCATCTTCATCCTCATCTTCGGACTCCTGCATAGCTTGTTAGCTCATCATCCCACTCGTAACGACGAGCTCAAAAGGGCAAAAGGAACATCAAGATACTTACAATCCAGTCTTCAACGGGCCTGCTAAAGATCTCCTTGTACCCATCCAACTTGACCAGATCAATCGCATATAGATCGTCAAAGGTAAACTCACGGTCCCCCTTCTCGTAAGTACCGCCATAGATGTACAGCACATCGTTCTGGACTGTCAACTGAGCATTGAAGCGCATATGCGGCGGCTCCATGGACACCGGCATCTCTCTAGCCGGCTTCTCCTCCTCCTCCTCTGGCTCGGCGAGCATCTTCTCCAGCTCAATGTCGTCTGCATCCTCCAAAGAGGTTCCCGCTTGGAGTGCCGCCAGCTGTCGGAGGAGCTCCTCCTCGTTCGCCTGGGCACGGCCGCGTCTTCCCACCCGCTGCTCCGACGCGTTCTTCTTCTGCTGCTGGCGTGGCTTACGGGAGGAGAGAGGCATGAACCTGTTTCTCTCGATGTTCCACGCAAACAGCTGGTTGAAAAACTCGCTTTCCATTCCTTCCTCGCTCTGCTCAACGTCGTGCACACCACCAAACATGATGCCACGACCCTTGTGATATGCCATCGTGGCACCGGCACGAGTGGGATTGGGCGAGTTTGCAGGCTTCTTGCGCTTCTCCCATCGGACGGTGGGTCCGACGTTCGGGCCTGCATCGGCCGGAGGCAAAGACATCCTGAGGAAGAAGCAATCCTCGTGAACCTTGGGCAAGAGGACGTTCTTCTGCGCCTGGTGTTGATTTCCCTTTTGGTTCTTCTTCAGCTGCACCGTGGCCTTGACCCTCGAATACCCTCCGAAAAGAACGGCGCCCTGCTCAGACGGCAGGAAGGTAAAGGAAGAGCGAGCATCCGGCTTGAGCTGGGCGGGCGGCAGCACAGGGCTGTGCCAGATGTAGTTGACTGTGTCGAAAATCCACAGGTCTGACAGATACTTTGTCTGGTTGGAAGTGTCCTGGAAGCCCCCAAACAAGATGATGTATTGCTTCCAATAAGTCATCCGGTGGCCACTGCGCGCCGGCGGACTCTTGTCCTTGCCCTTGACCTCGATCTTGGTCCATTCTCTTGTCGCGGGCTCCAGCCTCCAGAAGTCGGAATAATGGTGAAAGGTGCCTTGCTTCGGAGACGAGAATTCTCCTCCAAACATATACACATAGTTGGGGTTGGAGGCTCTCGTCCAAGCATGTCCAGACCGTGGCAGAGGCGCATTGGGGGACGTCACACAGCGCCATTCATCACGGTTGATGTTGTAGATGTGCAGGTCATTGAAGAAATGCGCAACCGAACCGTTAAAGTACTCGCCTCCAAACAGAAGCAGGCTGTTGCTCTCGTGCGGAGACGCCAGAAGCGTGGACGCAGCCCGAGGCTTCGGAGGGCCGTCGACGACCGTCTCCGTGATCTTCAGGAACTGCTCCTGCTGGCGGCGATACTCCTCCAGCACCTCGTCCAGGTCGACATCCTCGGCGTCACTGCCCTCGAGCTTGGCAGTCTTGTTCTTGATCTTCTTCTCCCCCTTGCTGGCCTGCTTGGCTGCTTTTTCCGCCTAAAGTTGAGGTTTAGTCGAGGCTTTCATGATCCTGCTTGGGGTGAATGTCGGAGGGGTAAGTTGAGGGGAGACTGCAATCTTGATGCTCACCTTTTTGGCCTTTTTGGCGTCGGAATTCTTCTTCTTATCCTTGGCCATGCTGGATCGATATTACCTTCATTCGTGTATTATATGGGCGTTGAAATCTCGCACTGGGAATAGAAGTGAATCCGATCTTCATTTGAGCGGGTCGGAGTGATTGGAGGAAAAGTACTGCAAAATCCTGCTATACACAGTGTGCGAATAGTCGAGTGAAACTGTACAGCGTCTTTGCGAGCGATCTGCCTTATCAAGGAGAATGATGGCATAAAAAATCATCTTCAATAAGTAGAGAGATAGAATGATAGCTCAACCTCAATCTCTTTGTACATGATAAATGGGAGATGGGAACTAGGAGATTAGACAGAGTTCGGCGAGACCGGCGTGAGATCATCATGTACAGATTAACCCGGGTATATTGTGAAAGTCATAGCTCATACACTGATTGAAACGCTCATACATCATTCCTGAAAAGACACAAAAAGAGGTCATTCGCTTGAGTCTCCCGATTGCTCTGCTGGAATAAACACGCCCATAGCCTTGCTGGCCCCTTCAACGCAATATTGAACGACATCGAGCTTCTTCCCCGGCGGCGCGAGTTTCGCAATCTGTCGAATGTCGCTCGTTCTTGGCAGGAACAGTACGTGATCCATCTTCTTATAAGCTTCGTGCAACTGATGCAGGTTGTATGGCTGCATTGTGCTGAGGTCAAAGATCTCGTCGGTCCTGTACCCCGTTCCTCCCCAAGGTGGGCTGGCGAAGACCATGGCAGACTTCAAATCAACCCTGAGGTCGGGATGCAGCTTTTCCGGAGCGTTCACCAGGAGGTCCATGTACTCAAAGCTGTCGCCGAGGACCCAGGTGACGGCACCTGGCTCGACGCCGTAGAGCTCGGCGTTGTGTTGGGCACACGCGAGTGTTGCAGGATCGCGCTCAATGGCGATGATGCGATCCCATCGCTCTGATAGCGCAAACGCAATGGTGTTGCCCCCGGCTCCTCCAAACGCATCAATAAGGACGTTCTTTTGAGGGTCGTAATAGTCCTCAGCGAGCTCGAACGCGATTTGACTGGAAAAGGTTTTAGTGACGGCGTAAAGGAAGAGAAATGAAGAATGGACCTCAAGACTTACTTCGCTACCGGCTCTGGTGTGACACCGAACCAAGCATCATCCGTCATGTGGACTCCAGCATCATAGTATGAGAAGATGGAGTATCTTTGACTGAAATACCTACATAATGAGTCAGCAACAGAGAGACGACTGTACTCAAAACGGCAAGAGACTTACTTTTGAATGTCCCAGGGAACCTCATGCTTGCCTGTGTAGTGGTGACACTCGTCTGTTAGAGGAAGCCTCCCCGCTGGCTCTAGTGAGAATCCAGACGGTTTTGCGTCTTCCGTGATACCGCCGTCCTCAGTGACATCCGCGGCTTCATTGGCATCAGCGGCGTCAATGGCCGCCTGGCTCTCGGACGCCAACAATTTGGTCAGGCAAGTCACATCATCCCTCGCCTCTGAATTCGTCTCCAATACCCTTTTAATAATCTCCCATGCGGCTGGAGGAATTTGACGGGCTTGCGGCAAGAGAAGCTGGGCGGTTGGCGCGTCGACCCAAGGGCCAAGTATGTCGCGTGCGATTTGCTGCTCTATTGCATCGGCAATATCTTGATCATCGGCTGACATTTTGAAGCGAGGGTAGTTACAGAGCGATTCGTTGTCGGTTTGCGATGGAAAACCCTGGTGATGCGGAATCTGCAGCCTCGTTCGCAACAATGAAGACCAGTCGCTGAACAAACGTTCGGTAGAATGAGAGAATGAGATTCTTTTACTCTGCGAGAGACGAGTAATAAAAAGGGTCAGAATTCCGGTATAGGAAAAGAGAGCAAATTCGACCGAGAATCACAAGAGTAGCGCGGATTTCATGTCACAATTCTGGTTGTTGATGAAAGAACATGAAGTGAATGTTTCACGCTGGTTGGCAGGTGAATTTCACACAAGGCTGAGATTGCTAATCCCGATCGGCTCCACTCTTAATCCCCGTTTAACATCTAGCGCCTTGGCACTCATGCAAGGCTGACAACTTCAAGGGACAGCTTGCGCCAAGCTCTCGCCTTTGTGAGGGCGGACGTCACTTCTCTCTTATCAACAATTAACTCTACAGCTTTGGCCTCCCACGACATCGCCGTCCGCCCATCAAACTTGGTTGTACAGCATCGCCCGGCGCAGCTTCAGCACTTTGATATCTCCGAACATCGGCCTCGCACAGCAGCGGGGCGACTCCCAGCGACCATGTTCAACGCCCTCAACCGCTTCATGTCCCGCCTAGACGGCGACGCCCCGCAACGTCAACACGACCGCGACTCGTTCGGCTTCCAGGTCCTGCGCAACACGAACCTAGAGCTACCGATTGAGCCCTGGTTTGATTACATTGTTGGAATCAATGGAAGGCCAATTGTAAACGCCGAAATCCTTCGCGACTAGCTGGAGACTGGTGCTAAGATTAGTGCAGGATAATCCCGATCCAAGCCTTTTCGCGCAAGAGGTGCAGAACTGCGCCGGCGGAACGGTGACATTTGGATTATGGAGCGCAAAGGTAATTACATGGGCAGACTTGATCAGGGGAGCGAAAACGGGACAGGATCTGATGTCGAATAGGGCCAACGCATAAGAGAAATGCATATTCCCGTTCCCGCAGACACCGCAACGCTCGGGCTTTCTCTTCAGTTCGCGCCCATCTCGCTCGCCGCCAACGTCTGGCATGTCCTTGATGTGCAAGCCAATTCACCCGCCGACATTGCCGGACTGTTACCCTATAGCGACTACATCCTCGGCAGCCCAGAAGGCGCCTTAAACGGCGAAAGTGCCCTGGGCGAGCTGGTGGAGGACTTCATCGGGCGGCCCCTGCGATTATACGTCTACAACAACGAGTACAACGTCTCGCGCGAAGTCACAATTCAGCCGAGCCGAAGCTGGGGCGGAGATGGAGCCTTGGGATGCACTCTAGGATACGGAGCGCTGCATCGGTTGCCGGCTCCATTGAGCGAGCCTGTCAATGCCCCCGGCGAGACGATGTTTGACGGCGACTTTAATGAGAAGAGCGGAGGCGGATACACCCCGGCACAGGCAAGCTCTCCGGCGCCGCCACCAACGGGCGGTGACTTCCTCGTGCCCGCTCAAATCGTCAGTCCAACGCCGGCGAGTGCGCCTCCGCGCGGTGGCACGCCTCGAGGAGGGAAGAAGAAAGAGCGCCATGCGACCAATAACTTCATGGACGACTACTTCAAGGAGGAGACGGAGAAGAGCCTGGCACTGGATAATGCGCCGAAGAGTAAGGGGACGGGTGTACCGCCGCCTCCAAAAAGCGCCGGCGGCCCTCCAAAAGCTGAGCACAAAGAAGTTGCAGCGGATGAAGGTGGAGCTTGAGAATAGTGCGGTGTGGGATCATTTGATGGTTAGGCGACAGGCAACGGAAAGGATGATATCGAAATGCGTAGCTATTGATGCGAGGCGAATGTATGGGAATTTTTGACGGCCTTGAGTTGACGAGCCACGGAAAGTCACGATGATCAGCTCAATTGGTCGCGATCAGCTTGTTAAGCCAGAGTTGAATGTCCTCACGTAGATACACACAACTCGGCTGCGCTGGCTATTTGATGTTCAGCCTCTTGTTTTGGGCCATTCTCTATGCCTAGGTAGTGACGGTCCCTCTAAGGAAGCTGGCCGAGGGAACCACACTGCAATATAACGGTTGAAGCCTTGCGCTCTATCAAGGCTTGCATTCCACCACGCATCCATCCTCTCCTTATCAGACTCGTTCAGTTGATGAAGTTGACACAGAAGAAATGTAGAATCAGACTGCAGACGACGTAATCGGCAAATGCTCTGCGACGGCTAGTTAGCACAACCCTGAAGACACCAAGGCGCATTGATATGCGTCTGTATCAGATCATCTGGTTATCGAGCCGTACCGTTCAGGCGATACCTCTGGGAACTCGCTCTTGTTCGCGGCCGTCGTTTGTATACGCAGTGAGACTGGAAGCTTTGGGTTAGACGTTGAAGGTGGCAGCTTTGGGGAAACCCATCGGGACACAAACTCGTCAAGACAAATTGGCCAACAGTTGCTCCGAATCCTGAAAGAAAGGCATTGAACGGCTGCGACACAACAGTTAGCAAGTATACCAAACACCCCCCCGAAATGTCCCAAAAAGCTCCAAAACGCTTCAGAGATGCCTAGGATATACGCACGTAGTTGCCCGCCAAGATGCAGTAGAGGAATTGCAGTGCGCCGACCACGGCAATGAAGACGAGGAACACGTCAATGAGCTTCGTCCGCTGCGGCGTCTCCTTCATGTAATACTGGTAAATGTTCTGCAGCACCTTGTCCCAGTTGGCTGCTGGGGCGTTCTTGGCTGCTGCTGGCGCGGCGATGGGCGATGATGCTGGGACGGAGCCCGCGGCGGTGGTGCTGGCTTGGGTGGTCGCGGCAGCTGAGGGCGCCGGTTGCGCTGCGTTCTTCTTGGCGGGCATGGTCGGCGGTTGAGTCGTCGTCGATTTGGGTCGTTGAGAGTGAGGAAGAGGAGACGAGGTCGAGGTTGGTGATGCTATCGATCGATTCACGACGCTTGGAAGCACCTTGTCTGATCTGCTACCTAAGGTAAGGTTCGGTACTTTGGTACAATTGCGGCCACGAAAGCTCCAAACAGGTCGGCGAGCTGTGATTGGGTCGCAAACCTGGGGGGTCTTGATGACCCACTCTGCATTTCCGTCCATCACGTCAGTCTATATCCGGGCCTCGTTCGACTCCGAGGGCCGACTGGACTCGGGACTTCTTTAAGAACAACAGCTCTCCTATCGCGCACAGCATATATCAGAGCTCACTCGGGACCCTGATCGAAGCTTCAAAAGATACGCTTTGAGGCTCCTACCATAACCGAACAGAACGATCATCATGGTACGTCAGATTATGCTCAGGCGCATCGCGATCTTGCTGCTTCAGCGGGGGCGCAAGCCGACATGACTGACCTCATCGCAACAGTCTTCAAACTCCTCGCTGTCAAATGCCTCCTTCGTCCTTGCGGCTCTCACGGCCGGAGGCGGCGCCATTGGATATGCTAAGACTGGCTCTGTTCCCTCAATTGCCGCCGGTTTTCTTGTTGGCTTCTTGTGTATGTCTCATCCATCCTCCCAGCGTTTCCCGGCGCAAATTGCAGCCACCTCCGGGCTCATACTAGAACTAACGTGTCCTTGTCAGACGGCGCCGGAGGATATCGCATTGCCAACGGCCAGCCTTACGGCATTGAGCTGAGCCTTCTTGCCTCGGCTGTCTTGGGAGCTTCAGCCATCCCTCGGGCGATCCGCCTCAGGAAGCCTGTGCCCATCTTCCTCAGCATCCTGTCGACCTATGGTCTTCTCACTTTCGGTTCTGCGCTGCGCAGGGCCTAGACGAGGAATCTCTGTGTTGTACATGTATATATTGATCGATAGCCAGCTCTTGAAATTCGAGTTGCTTGAGAGTACAGATGCAGCCCATATTTCTCTCGAACCGTGTTTGGAGCCCATAGGCCCTCCTTTGCGCCCCAAGTTGAAAGTATATGTACATGTCGCCATAACCTCATGGCGACCAATTTTGACATCCAACGCCGGTTCCCGAATTTTATTTCATCAAATGACAGTATTATACAAGGAGTTGCGAAGCTTTGAAGAACAGAGAAACGAGTCGAGAATTGGCGTTTGGGTATATGCGGGTTTCTTCACAGCCCCAGCGCTCGCTGCTCTTCCTTGATTCGGTCTCGTTTCGCTTTCGCGGCGGCCCTGTTTCCCTCTTGTACTTTGGAGCGCTGCTGTCGAAGACACTTGTCGACCAGGATCTTGGCATCGTTGCAGCCGCCTGCGGCCTTGTGCATGAAGCCTTGCGCATGGCATTCTTCGAGAGCGGCGATGACTTCCTGGCATGCTGGATGTCTCTGTTAGATCGTTGTGGAGAAGATAGAGAGCGTGATGCGTTGAGGGGCATTGAACGTACCCATGGCATTCTGCGTGTGCAAGTGAGGATGCATGTCTGTCGTTTGTGAGAGTTCAAGCTGATAGATGGATGCAGGTTTCGTTGAAATGGAAGAGAGACGGATTGATGGCTGATCAGCAGATGATACTATGCCTGCATCGAAAAAAGCTTGGACCGTTTTAGTGGTCGGACTGATTAGCGGGGGGGTCTTCCGCTAAATGCACTGTACCAGGTACAAGCACATGCAGCTGCCGCCCACAGTGCCGGGAATCAACCGACGCTCCAAGCTTCAAGACAGCAGCGGCGGCGCCACCGAAACTCTGCCTCGACATCTCCAACGGTTGACAGGCACAGGGATAGCTGGCCTCTCTCTGACAGCGCTTCTTTTTTCTCTCTTATAGCGGCAATCATGTCATCGTCACAGCAGGTTTCTGCCAAGAAGCAGCAGGGTAAGACCTCATCGGTTATTCGGGCACGGGTTCCCCCGCCTTGCTCTCATCCCCTTTGTTGTCTCATGTTCATGTTCCTGATCGCCGTCTTAGATCTCCAAGCCACTTACTCAAACTACAAGAACACGCTGCAGCAGATTGCGTCAAAGATTGGCGATATTGAGCAGGAGGCAGAAGAGCACAAGTTCGTTTCTCGTCTTTCTCTCAGTGCGACATTGACACCCCCCGCGGGCTTTCATGCCATGTCTCGCATCGTCCCTGTCTATGCCGCAGACTTTCAGCCTCGCCGCAACCCTGAGTGAATCACACCGCTAATCCAGACAATGATCTAGGCTCGTTCTTGAGACCTTGGAGCCGCTCTCAGGGGATCGAAAGTGTTTCCGTTTGATCAACGGCGTGCTCGTGGAGAGGACAGTCAAGGATGTGGTGCCGGCATTGAAGACAAACCAGGAGGGGCTCAAGAAGGTCCTTGATGACCTGGTCAAGCAGTACAAGAACAAGCAGGATGAGCTTGACAAGTGGAAGGTCCGTATTCCCCCATTCTCATAGGCTACTTGCCATCTTCAAGGAGCGGAACAGCTGACCTTGAATGACAAACCTACAGAAGAAGAACAACGTTCAGGTAGTACAGCAGTGAGGGGCACTGCAGTCACATCTAATAGAGAAGAAAAAAAGTTGAAAACATCATTATCCTTCCAAGAGTGTCCGGACCATTGCCGACTCATGGGCCCCATCAGCTACCAAGGCATGGAAGTCCATGGAATGCACCGTCTGTCTTCAGCCTCGAATACTCCACCTAGCTGCGCAGTTGACACACTGCATTCTTGGTCAGCGCATCGATGCTTTTTGCCATACGATTCAACCATACGTGGCCACACCCCTCGACGATGCAGAAGTCCTGGTGTTCACTCGATCCTTCGTGTCTAGCCGTTCAACCACTCGGATCTCATCCCTTGTTGATGGCGTTTCAATGCCCAACGGTATGTAGCCTCCACCCTGCCATATCTGCATATCAGGATATATCCGCGGCGCATGGTGTTTGATTACAGAAAAGGAAAGAAGAAAGGGGCATTGGGGGCCAATCGTGTGGTTCAGTGTGCACATACTACGCAGTACATGGTTGGTGAGCGTCCATCTGTTGGATTTCCCAGCCTGCAGAGTAATATCGGGGCAAAGCTGGATGCGTACAAATCACTTTACATGACTAGCAGCTCCAATCGGAATGCCACACCGGCGTCAGCCGCACTTTATATTGCTTCGACGAGGATGCTCATCACCGATTCCTGAGCATGCAGAGGCTGCCCGAGCGAGTATTCGCTTCCGCATGTGCCGTGCCTCTCGGAGATTTCGTCACCAATGCATATGCCGTAGTGCCCCTGAGGCGAGGCGTCTGATTGCCAAGTGGCAAGTCCCAATGACAGCGTCCTCAACAAACGGACTGCAGGGTTGCACCGCCCCTCCACCATACGAGTAATCTCCTCGAAATTCGACCATCACACGACCCAAAAGGTGATGATTCTTTCTAGGACATACAGGAAACCCGATCCGAAGGGTGTCTGGCAACCCGGCTTAACATGGGAGAGGGAGTGTCAACTTTGGCCTCACCCCTCCTTTCCCCTTCCCGTGGCTCGTACAGTATGCTCGCTCGTAATACCACATATGTAAAGACGATTCATCATGAAAGAAGCGTCGAATGGTTTCTGGAATGTTACGTCGCCAAGTCTTGGTGGGACGAAGACACGCCCAGATGCACATGAGAGGGGGGGCAATGAGGCCGCTAGGCATGCACTCACAGGGACTACGTGACAACTCATGTGCTTTGAACGACGGCGAGGAGGCTACTCAGTAATTACTAGTAGTACTACTAGTACCTAGCGGCTGCTGGCATGAAGCGAGTGCTGCGAACTACAACTTGTGGATGCTCCGGTGCTCAGGCCTTTCAATGTTCTTTGTACGAGTGTTACGAGCCATCTCAGCAACAAAGGAGGGCGCATACCGCCGGTCTGCATTGCTCGCGAGTGTCATCATGCAGCGAGCCAACAGAGTCGGAGGCGTCTCCTGCCGAGAAGCATTCCCAACGACTCTTTTCTGTTCTGACACGCACAGGCCGGGCAGAGACAACTCGATGAAAGACGGGCAAACACCACGCCCTGCATGCACGAGAAGGCTACTATCCATCGATCAGGCTTAGCTTGCCTGCAGCATTCGACCCCCAACTACACAAGTGTGTGGGTGGTGATGGTCAAGAATGTGCCTGCACACGTTGAGGACACCAGAGTCGAAGCCGGATGCTCGTGTGTTTCGTGCCCAAGCTGGGTGCTGCTGGGCTTCAAGCCAGCTCAGCAGCCATCCCTCCATCAAGCAAAGCCCGCCATCCTTTTGCGTCTACATGAAGCCACGCGCAGGGACATGGGGAGAATGGAGGGCCAGGGACCTTCAATCATCAAGTCGGTCTCGCTACCCAATCAATCGGTCTGCGGCGTTGGAATTGCATAACCGGGTACTAGTGATAGCAGAGGCGTCGGTTTCAAGGCGCTTCGGCCACAGCAAAGTGCCGCTCTATCAGAGGTTACCACGGAATGCATGTAGCCGTCCCTTGCGGATCTGTACCTGACGCGAAGGCCGAAACAAAGAACCAACCAACGGAGCTTCTCGCATCGGCAGCATCACCATTGGCCGAAACAGACTGCCCAATGCCCGGGCGCCTGTCGAGAGCCAGGCCGTGGTTCGTGGATCGCTCGGCCGTCGGTCACCAGCCAACCACTGGGCTGACATGGGGAATGCGGCCCAATGGGTTGGCACCTCGTCGCATTGATTGCTTTTTGGGGGCCCGACTATCTCTTTTTTTTTTTCAAGCCACCGGGTTCCTGAGGAAGAGGCTTGCCTTAGCCCTTGAGCCTGCGATGCATTGTCAAATGAGCAACTGCAGTAGCCCACCATCCCGGTACCGTCGTCGTGGGCGGGCGTGCAGGTTTCGCTTGCGACGACGACGTCACAACCACGAGGCTGGCCGTATCACGGAATACCGCAGCCCAGGGTCGCTGGGACAAGGGGAAGGGGGGGGCAGGGTTGTTGAAGTCTGGACGACCGCTTTCTGTTGTTTCTCACGAAGTCCATGCCCATCCATCCATATTACCTTGTCGCATCCTGGATGGTATCCCAACAAAACGCCAGTTGATGGAAGGAATCCGGAGCTGACGACACCAAGAAGCACACCGCGGATAGCTGCTGTATAATAACACACCGCCTTTGACGATGCCCTTGGTACGACCATCCCGGCACCCCTCCTTGCGAGTTTTAGCCCGGCAAGAGACGCACTTGAGACGAGGATTCTCAGTTGTAGGGTGATGTTTGGTCATGGTTCTATTACCTGAGGCTTACATGGGGACAGTCGAAGGCAGCACCAGCAGCATGGCAAACAAGCCGGGGTGTGTGGTCTGGTGATAGAGCGCATACATGAGCGGTGGGCCATGTTGTCATTGCTTGGCTTCATCAATACTGTATGTCTTCCTGGCTAGGTATGGAGATCACTGAGGGCTGGGGGGATGCTGCTCCAACTCCAATGGGGGACTGTGTCATATTGGAGCAGCTGTCAAGCTGAGGCCTCTACTAAGTACCTCCTACTTACCCTTTATGTGTACACACTCTGGTATAGTAGTAGCTGGCATCAAAAATGATCGACCAGATAGATGCCTTGGTGAGGCATTGCAGCTGGTGTCACAATCGGTAGTCGTGTCAGGAGCAGCGAGCATCATCTCTCATCATGATGCAGAGGGTCTGTACATAACTGCATCCATCCATATGCTTCATGAGCTGGCTCTCTCGACATCAACGCATTGCATCAAGGGTGGTGGCGCCTGATGGTCGCCCAGAGCTCATCCATACCTAAGGTAGGTACCTATTGCACGATACCAAGCTTGCAAGTCTCCCGCTACTTGGCGGCTCAGCTCCAGATACCCGCGCTTCTAGTGCAGATCGAACAGCCCAAGGTCGCGCTGGCTGCTGGCCAACAAGCAGCCGCTTTGCTGGTTGTGCATCCGGGACCCTTCGTATCTCGCCACACAATCACCATGACGCAGTACATGCAAGCCTCTGTCAAACCCCGCTATCGATAAACCTGCAGAGGGCTGTCACTGCAGCGCTGCCCATCCGATGCGCCGCCGTGGTACCGCCCCCCAGCTGCGCAAAGTACCGCGCGACCTGCCCGCCAGGTCCCCGCTGTTATCCCGGCCGACACCAGCGCGCGGCCAGTCCACCACCACCACTATTACCTAGCCTCGTGCAGAAGCTCTGCCTCTTCGTCCTCTTTTGCACTCCACATCCACATTCACACTTATGCACCCACGCCAGCCGCAGCAAGACGCAGACGCAGACGCAAACAGCGCAATCCCGACGCCCTCGTGAGACGCTTTCCCAGACTCCCCCCCCCCCCCCCCTCAAGCGAAGCTTCTTCTTTGTTCTGACCGTGAGCCAGCACCACCGCCCTACGAGACCCGGAACCCTGCGCGACCGTGTAACTTTGGCCGCGCCACCGCAATCCGTGCCCGAGCCAGACCACAGACCACAGCCGTTTGCTCTGCACGCGACGGCCTCGTCTGCCGTCCAATCTGCTGTCTAAGACGCACCCCCGTCGACCTCAAGTCGCTGAGTCTGCGAGTCTGCCTGGCATTGCCGTAGCCAGAAGAGCCTGTCAGCAGCTGAGAAACAGAGCTGTGCTTCTTATTGCTTGTTGCTGTGCTTGATCCGCTCACGCCCTCTTGTGGGAAGCGCTGCTGGGACGAATCTGCTGGTCCTGCTCCGTCCTCCCCAATCGCATCGTCTGGGAGCTCTCTGCGACTGCGGACCCTTTTTTTTCTCGGACACCCCTCCCCCTCCCCCCTCTCCTCCAGTCTGCTATTCCCCCTCCACCCAGGGATATTCTCTCCCAACCGGCTTGCCAGCCCATACATACATACTGCTACATACGCCAAGCGGGCGTCATCGGTCCTGCGTCGTCCCCCAGCCAGGGCAGACCCAGCCAGCGGCGTCCTAGATCCCTCGCGCCTGTCACGATTGACGCAGCGTTTCGCATCGTCTGCACACACGCCCCCCTTTGGACGAATCGGGCAAACCCTACCTCTTGCGACGTGGCCAGGGCGACACATCATCGCGAAACCTGCCGAAGCTGTGCCAACCCGAAGATTCTACAAAAGACGCTAGCAGCCGCTGCAGGTAGCCAAATATGTCCGACTCCCCTCAATCTCCTCCAAAGGATGTCGACCAAGGTGCACAGTCACCCGACGAGGAAGGACAAATGAATGACAACCAGGAACCCCACTCGGCCGGAGGGACTGGCTACGAGTTTGAAGGTGTCAAGGAGCAAGACCGGTGGTTGCCTATAGCCAATGGTATGTCCTCGTCGTCCCCCCCCCCTTCCTTCTGGAGCCGTTTGTCGAGTCGCGATTTGCCTGTTTGCCCGCATATGTGTGGGAAGCTGCTGCTCGTCTTCCTCAGCCTCGCATATTCGTCCATGTCTCACCAGTTGTTCCCCAATGTGCAGGAGACGCCGCCGCGCGCCTCCAAGGCCGACAAAGCCGATGAGCTCGATGCTAACATTCGCAATTTTGCTCCAGTGGCTCGAATCATGAAGAATGCCCTGCCGGACAATGCCAAAATAGCCAAGGAAGCCAAAGAATGCATGCAGGAGTGTGTGAGCGAGTTCATCTCGTTCATCACGAGCGAAGGTACGCTTTTGGTGGTTTCCGAACTTGTTGTGTTTGCTGCACGTACTGACGTGTTTCGTCAGCCTCTGAGAAATGTCAACAGGAAAAGCGCAAGACGGTCAATGGAGAAGATATTCTCTTCGCCATGACGTCCCTGGGCTTTGAGAACTACGCGGAGGCTCTCAAGGTGTACCTGTCAAAGTACCGCGAGGTAAGGAAGAAATTTGGGCATCACGTTTGTTTGGGATCATCATGACTAACGAGGCGATACGAAACCAGCAACAAAACCAGTCGAACCGTGATCGCGTCCTAGAGAACAACACTTGGGGGAACGCCATGATCCCTGGCGAGAAGACTGAGCCTGGCACAACCAATCCCGAATATGCACCACCCGAAGGAGCGAACCCCCCCGAAAGCGGTGCCGAGCCAAATTACATGTACACTTCTCATGCCGGTCACAACGGCGCTGGTGCTGGGGAGAACTATTAGTTGACCGTCGATTAGTTGGTCATCGTGACGCCAGCGTTCGCCGAACTGCAGACGGCGACCTCTTTTCCCCTCAGAAAACCCGCCCTCTCGGAAGCCCGATCGGACCTCTATTGCCCTATAGGAAACTCTTCCTGAACGCTTCACAGCCAGGTAATGGTGGTTATCGGCTCGCTTCTCTCCTCATGTAGAGGTAGTGCTGCAATACTTGTTTGTTTGACTTGGGGTTGGGGCAGTTCGGTTCACCTGAAGGTGCAAGGAACAAGGCGACAATGAGAGAGAGGGGAATAAATGGTTTCAAGTCTCTCTAGGCGTGAGTGCGACGCTTCACTTTGTTTATTTTCTTTTGTCTCGTTCGTGCTTCAGTCTTGTCCAGTACAGATGCTTGATCAGACAGAACCACTCCTGAAAGCTTCGCCGGCACATCAGGGGGTGGGCCAGAATGCGCGACTCATCTATCACGGCAGCAGGGATTGAGAACTTTGGCTAGCAGATAACGGATATGCATGGGGTTCAGACTGTGGGTTACGGAGTTGGATTGTTCGATTCTACTATACCTTATACAACTATTCACCGGTTCAGGCACAACTAAGGCGTCCTACGAGTGTGAGTGTTTCTGACCGAGACATGACTGTTCAAGCTATCAATTGTCGGTTCTTGTGAGTTGAGATAAACACAATTGTCGACGTGCCCTTTCAACTGGAAAGCACAAGCTTGTAGTCAATGCAGCCACCTGCAACCCCTTTGTGTAGAGACCGAATGACTCTTGCATGGTCAAGTGACACCACAGCAAAGTGGCGTCAAGGGGGCCTGATTGGACACAAGATTAATGAAGAGATATACCTGAGTCAGGCCGAGGTCAAACAGTGACGACTAGCTTGGCACTTTGACAAAGGCAGATGCAAACCGTGTTGTTGATTCGATGGCCTTTCGCATGCTGTCACACAAGGAGCAAGCCAACTTCCAGTCAAGCAAGCTCGCAGCGGCACATCAATGTTCCGACGGAAAGCACGGACCACGCAGTGTGCTGCCTACCTAAGCCGAGTTGGCTGCGAAGCACGTGCGGGGTCCCCACCAGCTTAGAAAATCTTCCCTGTGAGCGCCGCTTGACTTGAAGTGCAGCAGAAAAAAAAAAGAATCCATGTCCGCCGCGCATAAACTTGACGTTTTTTCTTTTGTGCCATGATTAACTCGGCCCTCAACTTTCCTTCAGCATCCTTCATCCCGCCTTTCAATTAAACTGTTACCTCACATTCTTACGTCTTCGAGCTCGAGCCATGCGCCTCGCGCTTTGAGGAAACGATAGCATTTCATCTCAAACAAAGAAGAGCTGCGAGGCTTGAGTATTATGAAGGCCGTGGGCGAGTGCAGAAACCAGCTCTTTTGCCTTGCCTCTGCAGCACTGCCGTGAACGCACGGCACGTCAATCGCATCCCTCAGCCTCGCCGGCATCGCCCTTCGCGCTCTTCGCCACCGCCGAACTTTGACATCGCCGTCTCTCGAATGTTGACGTCTACTCCCAGAAGCCTTCCAGGGACTCTGCCTCGAGGCACCACTCCTGTCAAATCCATACTCAAGTCGGCTTCTGCTCTCGGCCGCAGGAAAGACCAGCATCACCCGGTCAGCGAGGGCGCTGAAGCCCAGGAGACGCCCTCCAAACGGCGCAAGGTGCTGTTCGACGAGATCAAGAATGTGACGTACGAGGTCGGCCGACGAACGATGGACGAGATCAAGCTCGAAGTGCGGATGGCGCTCGAGGCCCACCTGCGGGGCGACGACGGCCAGTACGACGGATTGAAGGAGATGTTCGCCAACGACAAGAAGCGATACCTGCCGCCGGTGGTGGGAGAGGAGGACGACACGCTCAAGCCGCACGAGCTGCAGGTCTACCTCATGGCCCTGACGGGCTGCATCCCCATCCTCAAGAGCAAGGACTGCAACGGCCTGGTCAAGGCCATTCTCAACTGCTCCTGGCTGGGACGCGACGCCGCCTTTGTCAAGGTCTTTACCCACTTTCTCGCCGCCCTCGTCAGCGCTCAGGGCTCTTACCTTAACCACGTCCTGGCGATGATTGTGGATAAGTTCCACGACTCCCGCCCGTCCGCGTGGCTTGTGCCCGACTTCCCCGAGATCAGCCGCGACACGATGCGAGACAGGCTGCATTCGGCTCTACAATACCTCCTCAAGATGTTTCCCTCCGCGACTTCTGTCCTGGAGAACCTGCTTAGAAACAAGTTTCCATTCTTAGACGACTCGATGAGGGTCCACATGGCCTATATCCACAACCTCCTGCGAGTCAAGGACTACGTGCCCGACCTGCAGGAAGACATTTTCGACATGATCTTGGATCGTGTCGTCAAGATTGACTCTCAGATGCAGCTAGACCTGGAAGACACGGACGACGATATCACTGCCGCCGTCATGTACGCGCTTCGCACAGAGAACCCTCAACAAGAAGCCGCAGGGTGGGAAGACGAGGCCGACGATGACAGTGATACCGACTCCGTGGACAGCGACGATGCTGATTACGATCAGGACGCGGTTCGGATTAAGACTCTGAAGGAAAGCGTGGAGAAGATGGACTCGATGCTCGATACCCTTTTCGAAGTTTACACACCACATTTCGCGAACCCCGGCTCGGATAAGGCGTTTGACATGTTTGTCACGATCCTCCGCGAGTTTGACCAAATGGTTCTGCCGACATATAAATCACGACATACGCAATTTCTCATCTTCCATTTCGCCCAGCAGCACGAGCGGCTCACCGACGCGTTCTGCGGCCAGCTGATTGCCAGCGCCTTCCAGAGCAACACGCCGAATATCCTGAAGCAGGCCGCGGCCGCCTATCTCGCGAGCTTTGTCGCTCGAGGCGCACACGTGCCGCGCAGCCTCGTCCGCACCATCTTTATGCTTCTCATCCACCACCTGGACCAGTACCGGAGGAAGTACGAGCCCATCTGCCGCGGCCCGGATCTTAAGCGCTTCCACCCCTACTACAGCCTTGTGCAGGCTACGCTCTACATCTTTTGCTTCCGTTGGCAAGACCTGGTGGTTTCCGCTCCCGAGTTTGTCGACCCCGAAGACCCAGCATCGTATATCGGCCAGGATCTCGAGTGGATCGGCACCTCGCGGAAGGATCTTTCTACGCACATCTTTGGCAAGCTCAATCCCCTCAAGGTCTGCGCACCGGTCATTGTCGAGGAATTCGCCAAGCTGGCGCACCGCCTTAACTTTATGTACGCCTATCCGCTGATTGAGGGCAACAAACGGATCCGATTGACGCAGTACTTGTCGTCGACATACTCTACTGGAGGCGCGCTGCGGGACTCTGGCTTCGATACGCAGGAGGAGAGCTTTCATCAGCTCGATCCGTATTTCCCATTCGACCCATACCAGCTGCCAGTGAGCAAGCGCTGGCTGGTGAATGACTACGTGCATTGGAAGGCAATCCCAGGCTTGAATGCGGAGGATGACGACAGCGAGTCAGAGGAGGACGAGGATGATGAAGAGCTTGAAGAAGGCACCGCAACCGATAGCGACGGCGGCGAATCTGAGTAAACTTCAAGACTACGATATACGGGAGAGATGGGGATATACCCGGAATGCTACACGCTGCGACAGACGGGATTCGATTATTTGAAATTCCTTCACCATTTATTTCTCCGGAAGAAAGCCAGCTTCGGACTCAATCTAGGAATGGACAGGGTAAGATAAGGGGCGGTCGGGATCGCGCTTATGTGCGCAAAAAAGTGATTTGCTTTTTGGGAGAGGGGCGTTTTAGGGGCGGCATCTGGTTCCTTTGATCTGTGCTTGCCATTTTGTCTTTTGGCATGTGGCTTGGATCTTTTGCGTTTACCTGCCGTTCGTTTTCTCAGCGAGGAGTTGGCCAAAGGAACCTTTGCTTTTACTTTTTGTTTTCAATCTGTTCTTGGTAGACAGATTTATATGCCATGTCAAAGTTGTGTATAGGATTGAACACAGGGTTGAATTGATGTTGATTGACTTTGCTAAATATTTGCCTGTTTGTGTTGATATTGTTGGCGGTTGTTGAAAGAGGTTGTTGAGCGCGAAACTGAATGTGTGTGTGTGGTCTTATCTTTTGCCGTGGCATTCAAAGGCTTATGGAGGACAGGCGTGTGGAATTTGGAGGCTTCTCGGGTAGGTAGTATTTGAAATACTTGATAAGGTACATAGGTAGTCAGCGGTCCGGAGACATGACGAGGGGGGTTACAAATACCACTGGACTCCCCTTTCGTTATTTGAAATCCCGAAGCGAAGCACCTCTCATGCATTGTGCATGGTTTCTATATACCATACCATGCAACTTCTCTTTAAGATACTACTAATTCAGTATGCGACGTTTATCTGCATGAGATGGTTTCCAACAGAAAGGTAGAGTTTTGTAGTTGGTTGGTTGCTACATATCGGTTTAGAGTCCCAGTCAATGTAGGTAGACATATAGTGCGAATTTCAGCTTCGGTTTCCTTTTACGTTGCTGTTGCGCTGTTACTGTTTTTATGCTGGCAGTACGTACATGTATGCTCTTCACATGTTATCCTTTCTTCGTGTCTGTACCTTAGGTAGCGAATTGGGGGGTGGTCGCTCCGTCATGGGTTCGCGTATTCCAGCCCAGATCGCATTCTCATTGACGGGAATATTTGAGCTTCGTATCGGCATTTTTTAGAATCTACCTACCTACAGTACCTTTGCCATCCCCACCTTTCAGCGCAGTATCTGGTACTTTTCGATCTGTAGTACAGGAAACTTTGAGAGAGCCGGCCATGAGTATTTTGGCTGCAAGTTCGCCCATACGCAAATCCGCTGAAGAGCCATCCCGGTCCAACAGCTTTCCCAAGGGTTGGGTACTGCAGACTTGAATTATTGTTAAAGTACCTACCTATCCTGTACTTGAGTAGATCGGGAACCCGGTAATTGAACGCGACTTCCGTCCGAACTTACAGGAACACAAACCTAGGCAAGAGCACTGGGACGTACTGCCTTGTGCTAGAGAATAGGTAACTTGGTAGTAAGCTGCTTACTGCAAACGGCGAAATGATGACCACATCACGCCTCAGCCCATTCACTCACTGTTCTTCTCCTTACCACTTCCTTACTAAACGGTTCGATTCTCTCTTTGCCTACTACCTACCTGTACCTAGGTAGATATCTCTCAATTGAGGCGTTCTGAAGAGGGATTAGTCATTGCGTTGACCTTTTCTCCTACCTACCTACTGGGTACTCGTTCTCTTCTCAAGTCGCCCTCAGACTGCAGTCTCGTACACTCGAGATAATGCCTACCTAGGAAGTTCGCTGACGTACTATTTTCGACGCGGCGCAGCTAGTGATAATTCCAGGTCCTCACTTACCTATCTTTTTTCGCTTACCACGAGACTACAAATCAACACCACGAACTCAAGCAGTTGTCCAGCATAAAGGCCCCAATCCAACGATAAACGACGAGGAATCTACACAAGCAACGGCTGATCATTTTTTCCAATCTTCCCACTTTGAGACCTATACCAACTAAATACTTAAACCTGGTTTATCCTCTTCGTCAAGAACTCAATCGGACACTCTTCAGTTCTCTGTGAAAATCCATCCATACAATCGCTCTCAGAAGCCATTCGATTAAGTGCTTACTGCAGAGGACAATGGCGGACGCAGGAGGTGGCGAGCCTGAGCGGCCCTCGTTCACCAGCTTCTGGAAGCGAGTCAAGCAACAGGGGAAAGGCCACGAGGGAGACGGTCAGAAGAAGCACGGCAAGGGGAAAAAGGCGGAGGAGCTGCATGACGAGGGTGAAGGAGGAGGAGCCGAGCAGGATGCATCTCCCGATCAGATCCCAGATCAAGACGCGGGTGAGTTTTATCTTTTTTTATTCTTAATTTTTTTTTTTGGTCAACTCTTTTGACTATTTCTCTTTTTGGATTCCACGTCCTCTCTCTGGCTTGCTCGATTTTGTTTCCATGGGTTCCATGGTCGAAGTTTGGCCTTAGTTTTGGGCTTTCGACCCTCCCCCGTTTGGTGTCAATGATTCCTCACCCTCTTTTCAGCTTCATCCCGTGGCGGCTCGATTAGGACGAGGCGCGCTAAGCAAGTGGCCCGGAGGGCGACGTGCATCGTGCATATCGAGGGAGGGAGGGTTGACAGATTGAGATATCCTGGGGTCGGACTGGATGCAACGGTTGATTACAGGCGCTGGGCGAGTGCTACGATGTGACACGGGCTGCCGGTCTGATTGCCTGGCCGCACGTCTGTCCGTCTGTTTGTCTGTCTGGTTTTCTGACCATCTGCGGCCATCACGTCACCGGCCATTGGCGTCCGGGGAGCAAGTGCTTCGTGATTTGGAATTATCATCAAGCGGGAGCGGCAGAGGGGTGGTGCTGGCCGGCATGGATCTTATCCTCCTGTCCCCCTCCGCTCAGCTGCCCCGAAACGGCACGATGCTTCGTCCGTCCTCATAAGACGAGCCAGTCGCTCTCGAAGCATCAGCCTCACAGGGTGCATTCTCATCTGTTGTTCAGCTCTTCTCATCGTGGGCGCTATCAATACCAGATCATCTTGCCTTTGCTTCTGGCTTGATTCCATCCGTCACGGCCAGTCCCACAAAAAGTTTGGAATCTTTCAGCCTCACCTCTACATCTCATATCGCTCCCCCTTTTCACAGCATCATGCCTTTCCTTAGCCGTGTCCCGTCGTCTCGAGATCTGGGACGGTCGTGGGCCAAGATGCATCAGAAGAGAAGGAAGATGGAGGCTGAACCAATTATCCGATGCGCAGATGAACCCACGGGCGACGCCGCCAAAGACAAGGCCCAGATTCGACGAGCTCAGGTCCGGAAGGCCCAGATCCAGCACCGGCAGAGAAAGGCAAACTACGTCAAGCAGCTCGAGCTGGACGTATCCCAGCTGCGGGACCTCATCGCGCAGGCCCAGCAGGAGACGTTGCAGATGCGCAAGGAGAACGACACTATCCGGGACCTCATCAGGAGAACCGAGCCGGCAGCCCAGCCGCCAAATACACAGGCCGATTCGACGTATTTCTCTACTACAGACTCCCCCGGTACGCGCCTAGGCGGCATGTCTGAGCTCGATGCCCAGGAATGGCTCGCTGCGGGCGGACAGCTGTCAGACCTGGACCTGAACCTGAACCAGAACCAGCAGCCCCTGATGCCGTCGACGTCCAATGAGCAGGAAATGTTTGGCCACATCAACCTCGACGACATTACCATCTCGCTGGGCATCAACGATCTTCTCGGCACGCCCTGCTTCACCATCGACAACCCTTCCGTCGGCAGCAGCGTCCAGGGCTATGTGAGCCCCGCCAGTTTCGACAACCCTCCCCAGACGCCGCCCTTGACTCCCCAACAAGAGCAGATTGTCATGAACTGGATATTAGCGTGAGTCCAGCCCCCAATCCAACACCAACACACAAGATCCTCAAATGACGCCGTCTAACATGAAACACGCAAACAGCCTCGAAAACGTCTGCTGGGACCACTTCCAACACGACGACTTCCACTCGCACATGCCCGGCGAGACGGAGCCCTCCAACAACCACTTCCTCACCGCAACCTCGCTCTGCATGAACGCCGCGCCGCCCTCCATCTTCGCCGACCGCCAGGTCTTTGCAGGCATCGACCCGGCCACCACGCAGGCGCCCACCTTCCAGTGGCACGCCAACGGCATCTCCATCAGCTCCCTCTGGGCCCTCGCCCAGTTCGAGGTCGACCCTACCGAGATCTCGCCCGTCCAGATGTGGTTCGACCTCGCGTCAAAGTATCCCTACGAATTGCTCTTTGCCGACGGCTTGTTGACGTCGCTCTTGATTGAGCTGAGGCCGTATATTCGGTGTATCGAGTATGGGGCTGCGGTGAATAGGCAGTTTTACTTGGATGTTGTGGAGAGGATGATTGGGCCGCCTACTGTGGTGTAATGAAATCATTGGGAACAATGTCTTCTTCTCTTCCTCTTTCTTTTTTTTCTTTCTTTTTTTTTTTTTTTACTTCTCATGGCAGCATTCTGGACACAATCCGTTATGGTGGCGTATATGGCGACATCTGCTTCTTTGTTTCTGTCCCAGGACAGGTCTGTTAATCTGTACATCTAGGTTTTGAGCGACCCCTTATGATGCATCGTCGAGGAATTCTCATTTGAAGGTGATCAGAAGTCGCTTAGGGTCTATCCTCAATGCCTGTAAATAGTCAAAAAGTCTCTGATTGAGCGCACAAGAAACGAACCCCCTCCCTTTGTAATTCAGGAGGAGTAGAGGCCGAAGCTGAAGCACAAGAAACAGTTCAACTCCTAGTCTATCAAGCCATACATCTACACGATTTTTTACAACTCAGTTTTTATTCTTTTCCCTACCTCCCCCCCAAAAGCCTGTAACTCATCATCATCGTCATCTTGCTCAAGACGCCATCATCTACAAAGCCTTCACCATACTCCGATCATCAAAAAGATCCCTCAACAGGCCCTCCACGCAAGCCTCCCGATCCACCGTCCCCATCGCATACGTCGACTCAAAGGCATAGATGCTGAGCTGCCCAAAGAACGGCCTAAGAACCTTGGCCACCAGCTCGTCCTTTCTCTCAAAGGCCACGTCGTCGCTGATGCCGCCGCGGCCCAGCAGCGGGAGACGACGCGAGCCGTTGTTGTGCGTCGCCATTTGCGCGGCCGTCATGGCGTCGTCGTGGCTGCTGATGGCGGCCAGCTGTGTCGACGTCGAGCTCAGCTCCTCAGATATCTCGTCTACCAGGGCGACGGGCTTGTACGTCGACGACCGATACACGGCCTCGATGGTGTCCGTCACGAAGAGCCACTCGTGCAGTTGAAAGTCGTCTGGGGCGACGCAGATGAGCAGGTCGAGCAGCTTGCAGGCCTGCAGGACGGCCGAGTTGACGTAAATCTCGGACGCCGTGCTGTGGTCCGGAGCCACGATGGAGGCAATGGCAGAGTGAATCTCGGCGTTGACCACCGGCCACAGCCTGGCTAGGTGAATGGGGCTGACCTTGAGCACCAGCGCCCTGATGACCATGTACACCTCTGCTCGCGTGGTAGATGACGGCGAGGACGTCGAGGTGGCCCCAAACAGCTCCACCATCTTGTCAAAGATGACCGGAATGTCCGTCACAAAGGCATCGTCCGCCGAGGCAATAAGCAGCGTGGCGATTCTCCGCAAGTTGAGCTGCGTCTTCCGGTCGGCCTCGAGACGCGCCGACGTTGCGCCCACTCCAAAGACTATGCCCGCCGTCGTCGGTGCGCTGATGCGGCCGACAATCTCCGGTAGCCTCTCCTTGTCCGTCAAGGCCCACTGTCGCAGCAATGGCAGCCAGTCGTTCTGGACCAGGGTCAGGTTCATTGCGAAGAACTTGGGGTCGTTGAACGCGTCGCCGACATCCTTCTTCCAAGACTTCTGGTTGTTCTGCAGCCTCGACAGCTCGTGCAGGAGCTTCAGGGTGCTCGCGGTTACAGAGTCTGGGAATGCCTTGGAGCGAAACGTAGGGCCAATGACATTGGTGGAGATCGTTCCAGCTGCCGACAGCACTCGGTCCGGCTCAAGTAGGATCTTGGGCAGATTTGGGACCACGGAGGCGAGAATGGCCACAACATCATCCGATCTCTCAACAGCGGCAGGGAATGTGCCACGGCGTTCCAACTCGCCCTTGGTAGTCTTTGTGCCCGACGCTCCATTAGAACTGGCCGGGTCGGCAAAGGTTGGTCTTGTGGTGAAGAGGGCAGTAAGAAGTCGAAGAAACAGATCCTACAGAGAAGTGAGCATCAATCGCCATATTCAGTAAGGACCATATATGATCGTCCAACTTACCCCTAGTTCCCTTCTCATCTTTCGCTGCTCTCCGAAATTGGTATTGTCGACCTTCTCGCCCAGAATCGCCGCAAACTCAAGAAGACTAGGGAGTGTCTGTCGGTGAGGGAACGGATTGTTCAAGAGGTCCTTGAGGAACGTTATGCAGTCCTGCCATATCTCATCCATGGCATCGTCGTCGAGCGACCTAGCATACTCGACCAAGAAGACAACCAGGTCGGCGTCCTGGAGCGAAATAGTCATCGTGGACTTGCGGGAGGGCTCTAGGGCGGCTGGGTTAGTGCGGCTGTATATCGAGTTGAAGAGGGCTGGCATTGAATGCCTCGGCCGGGCGGCGTCTAGAGCCGCCAGAAAGTTGAACACCATGGCATGCTCTGCTGCGCTTGTTGAGTTTCTCCAAACATCAATCACCGTCTCGAGGCTCTCAAGCGTCTCTGCCGTAAAGAGATGCTCGAGGAGCCGCCTTGCCCGGTTCCTCATCCTCAGAGATGTGTAGTTGAAGGATGCGGATGAATTAATGTCCTGCGTGGTGGCATTTTCTCCCTGTCCCCACGTCCAGATAGAGAAGCACATTCGCACGGCATCTTGGAAAGCTAGGTGAACAGTCAAGCGGTCGTTGGCCGTGGCGCTTCGGGACTGAGGAGCGTCGGACTGGAAGACACCAGATACCATGCTGCCGAAAAGTGACTGAGGCTGGTCCGGACCTTTGAGAGCCAAGGCCTGAGCCTCTTCGGCGAGCAATTGATCATGCGCCTTTGCCAGGACTTGCTCCAAAGCGTTGAGAAGGTATATGAGAGTAGATTCCGGCGTTGCGGCCTCATTCTTGACCTCATATGTGTCGTCTTGAAACATGCTCTTCAAATGTGAGAACGTAACCCCTATTTGTTTGCATAGCGTCTCGACGAGGGGTATCAAAATCTGGAAGATGGATTGGGAATAAAACGGCAAACATCTGCTGAGAAACGAGACCCAGCTGTCCAGAACAAACTGGCTGTTAGTCGAGCTCAAGCCTGCCTGCAGGCATTTGAGCAGCTGAGGTGGCATTGCCATGGGAGGTGGTCGTGTGTCACCAGTAGACATAGATAATCGTACTGCATGCAATGGATCCGCGCTTGAGCGTCGCTTTTCAGCAGTCGACGGGATCGAAAGCTCGGCCGCCGCCACTGCGTCCTGTAACTTTAGGGTATCGAAGAGTACGTCAAGTAAGAGGACTTGCACATATGGATCGGGACTTCCGATGGACTTGAACAATCTATCAATCAGGACTTGGTCGAGATGAAGATCGGCCAGAGGAGTGGCATGATGGCTTATGAGGAAGTGATGGAGAACGGTTAGTGCGTAGCGATGTAGCTTGGAGACCCTCGTGTTGAGGTCGTCGCTGGCGGAGCCAGAAGCATCACCCGTGATGCAGGCCATGCACACCCTGACGAAGTAATCTTGCAGTGTGATGTCGACCTCATCCCCACCAGCTGGATACACCAAATGTCAGCGACAGATACCTAAAGAACCTCGGAAGTATAAAACGTACTGGAGATCTGCACCTGTCCACCATTGTTGAAGGATAAGTGTTTTGTAACAAGTACCGCTCTTGAAGCTTCTCCGGAGCACTCAAGAACATGGTGCAAAGTCCGTAGGTAGTATAGGCACAGGTCGACATCGTCATCTTCGGTAAAAACGAGGGTTTCGGTCTCAGACTTTTCGGATTGAACAGACCCCCCGACTGCACGAAGACAAGGTATCTCTGCAAACTTGATAACGAAGAGGAGGAATAGCCTGGTGAACGTTAGTATCATTCACAAACTCTTCGAATCGATAACATCTACCTATCGATGCCAACCATGCTATTGAGCCACGACTTGACCGTCATGAAAAGCTGTGTCCTGTCGTCTAGCAATCCATCCAGCACAAGGAATAGCGGCCGCGTTAGCATGACCTCGTAGTGATCAGTCGCACTGAGCTTCTGGCCCAGTTTTGCTTCAATGGTAGGGATCTTGGGCCCACGGCGATCAGATGGCGTATCCTGGAGTGTGTGAGACCAAAGAACGCCGAAAGCGCGCCCGATATCTGCGCCATCGGCGGCACTTTGGTCAACCAGTATACTTGCAAGTGAGGCTTCCACATCGCGGCGAGACAGCGAGAGGGCTGCTTGAAGCTGCCACAAGCACCGAACAGCTTCCACATGGTACTTGGGCTCAGATGCAGAGAGATATGACCATGCGTGACGGACCAGAGGATGCACTAGTTCGGAGAGTTCTGATGTTGAGATCCGCTCGACATAATGAAGCTGCGTGATGAGATGCAGAATGGAAGAAAAGTCTGAAAATCTCAGCGGCCGCTTCTGCATCAGTTTGGCCTTCAAGGAAGCCACCAAGGCTGTCACGTCAAATCGATAGTTTTTGGGCACTTTCAGCAAGATCAGTAGCAGAATTCTGATGTGGAAGCTCAAGGAGCACGACGACTGTTGCTCGGCTGTACCATCAACGATGTACTTGATTGCTTTCTTCAGAATCAGCTCGCCAGTCTCAACCTGAGAGAAAGGCGCTGGAGATGCGTCCAAGCTTCCCTGCCCGTGGATGTAAAAGTCTTGAACTTTCTTGAGTAGCTCTGCGGCCGACAGAGAGGAAGCGCCGCCACACTCCCTCTTAGGACTTGCATTGGCCGTAGAAGGCTCAGCGAATGCTCGGTCCGGAACCAGTTCGAGGAGTGAGACAACAATACCAAGGACTTGTTCTCTCAACGATAAGTTGTCTCCATCTTGCAAGTTGCGTGCATCTTCCAGCATGAGCAAAGCAGCGAGACAAGTCAGGGGAGCGTGAACCGTAACCATCTCCTCTTCGCGCACATTGAAGTGAGTGATGATGAAGTTGACTAAAGACAGCTTGTCGCTTCGATCGTCGTTACTGGACTTCCCCGGGCTGATTGCCTGAGCCAGAAGCCCAACAAGCTCACTATAGATGAGGCCACTCTCAATGCCGTCAAAGAAGACGCTTGCGCTGCGTAGCACTTCGGTGAACTCTGCCTTGGCAGGACCCTGTTTTTGAAACTGCCGCACACTTTCCACCACGGGAAGGAAGATGTCTGGAACCACAAGCCCGCCGACTTCCCATCGATCCATTAAGGAGAGACATATCCGGTATGGCCGAGTTCGTTCGGCAACTCCTCTATGCTTGGTATCTCTGATCATCTCAAGGAGGGATTTTGTAAGCGGCTGCAGCCCATACTGTTCGAAGTAGCTGGTTCGGGAGGAGAGGAGAGCTTGCGGGCCGTCTGCGTTGCCGTGCAGCTCAGGGTTATGTTCATTCTCGTTGCCTGTTGGCTCGGGACCGAGAAGCCATGCCCATAATCGGCGGTTCAAGCTCATATCTCGTCTCGTGACGACCCCGACTGCAGCCTTCAGGAGAAGTTCCAGGTCGCCAGGCTTGACTTGAGATTGTAATACGTGAGAATTGAGGGGAAGATGAGAGACGAGTAAATCGAGAAAGCCACGCTGGATCAACAACTGCTCATCGGACAGTCCGCTAGCGAAGCACCTCACCAGCAAACCGGGCTCTGGGGTGGTGACGATGGCGGCAATCTCACTATTGAAGCTACCGTCCACATTGCGTTGGCCAATGTCCCCAGCAGATGCGCCAGCGGAGGCATCTCCGCCCAATCTGGGAAGGTTGCGTATCAAGTAGGCAAGGGCGCCGGCACGGCGGCTATGACTCGTAACGGAAGCCAGGAAGAAGCATTGCCAGAAGAAGTCATCGCCCGAGGCATGTTGCTCGGTAAGGACGACGCTGTCCGCTGGCCGAATTGCCTCCTTGAAGCTCCCAACCAGCCGCAGGGTTCGATCAAAGTCCTCACTGGTCTCGTCTTCCAACCCCGGTAGCAATGCCAGTATGATTGACTTCATAGCAGGTCGCAACGACCTGGAGTCAATGCCCGTGAAGTGGCGCTCGAGGACGTCGAGATACGGGGAGCGAACCGAAAGGGACGCAAAAGAGAGCGTAGGTGCCAGGCCTGGGAGGTATAGAGGGAGGTCTCGGGACAGCCCATCCTTGCCAATTGTTTCGAACACGTAGTTGTACACTTCGAGAGCTTTTTGGTGCACGCCCGAGGGCAGTGACGGATTCAGGCATTGCGACAGACGTTTCGCGACTGTGATCTTGGAGGGGATAACGGTGACATTGGGCGGTCGGGCTTGCAGGCTCTGTCCAAGCTGTCAGTGTGCTGTGTCGCAAAGCCTTTCACGGGGCCGTCGCTGGCTTGCGAAGTCGCCTGACGTCGGGTGCCTGACCTTGAGCAATCTGTTGAGGAAGGATATATAGTCGGCCCATTCCTCCAGGGCCGTCTCGAAGAGCAGCAGCGCTTTGTCGACTCCGGCAGCGTATCTGCGGTACGCCTTGTCCTTGATGGGGGCGTCCTCTAGGCTGCTGGATCAGTGACACGGCCAACAGAAGCTGACGTGAAGGCATCCTACCCACCTCCGCCAAGCTGGTTCCTCCATTGCCGTGGGATGGGCGAGTCCCGCCCCGAGCTCTCTGGCGACCCGGATCGCACACCAGGGCCCAGTTCAAGCGCCATTATGACGTGCTGGTCGGTTCATGGGCTAGATCAATGACTGTGGCGTTGGGAAGCAAGCCAGGACGCGAGGCGCATAGCTGCAGGGGAGCAGCCGTGGATAAGGTAAGGTATGATGTGTGTGCAGGCAGATCGCTATGGAGTTGATGCAGTTGCGAGATGGTCGGTGGCAGCTCCAGTCCACCTCATTCGCTGGGAGGCTACGTTTCAGTGCTTGCGCCCAAAGCTCCAGGTCCAAGGTACCTGTACCTGGACATACGGACAGGCGACGTTGCGCATCCAACCCCACAAGAGGTGCTTGATTGGCGCTGGCTGACGCAAGGCTGCCGATGATGCATCTCTTTGAAGAAACCATGTACTTGTAAATGCTGCAATGAGGCTCGAAGAAGTCATGAGAAGCAACAGAAGAACCCATAAGCATACAGTGCTGTATACGTCAGGCATGGGAGTCTACTATAACTCACAGTATCTTGTCATATCGCTTGAATGTACATCACAAAGCAGCTCTGAGTACCTTATCAGGGGCCGCATTTACAGGCCTTGGGCTGGCCGTCAAGGAAGGTACAGGCAAGTACCCGGTACTTTCACCTGCCAGGCCTTAAAGCAAGCAGCTCTCGCAGCTTCGCCTCTTTTGTCTCTCCTCTCCGTCATCGATGCTCTGCGCCTGCAAACACCATCGCCGCTCACCGCCCGCAGACGCAATGGCATGATGGTCATCAGGACCGCGCACCACTCCAGCCGTCGGATGATTGCTTGCTCGAGCCCGTCCTGAGATGCTCCAGCGCTGCGACTCACGATGGGACAGGAGAGCGATTCCTCCCCCGAGGAGCAACCCCCTCCGCTGCCTCCTCGACCCGCGAGGAGCTCCTCCGACGCGAACGCGAATGCGCAAGCCCTGCAGGGCCAGGCGACCACTGCCATCACGCCGCTGGACATCCAGACCTTGTCCTTCCCCGATGGCACACGAGGAACCTTTTCCACGCCGAACACTCGGCCCGTGTCGACTCCCGGCAGCGGCTACACGTCGCCCAGCCGCCGGCCGAGCAACTCTGGCCTGGAGGCAGACGATGGCGCCAGCATCATGAGCTTTGCGCCGACGATGCGTCCGGCTGGAGACATTGCCAGCCTGTTGACCTCGTCACTCAGCAGGAAGAGCGCGGCTTGGAACTCGCTCAAGTTGCAGTCAAACGTCCAGCCGTTTGAGAGACACCAGCGAGGCGCGCACGACCGGCTGGCTGAGTTCGAAAATGAGTTTGCGCCGCTTCCTGACGAAACGAACGAGTTCTTCAAGGACGACGAACGGCTGGCGTTATGGCGCTCGAAGCTCAAACAGTACATGATCTTGTCTTCGGCAGGCAAGCCCATCTGGAGCCGACATGGAGACCTCAATCTCATAAACTCGTCGATCGGAGTCGTGCAAACCATAATCTCCTTCTATGAAGGATCCAAGAACCCCCTTCAGGGCTTCACGGCTGGCGATACCCGCTTTGTGGTATTAACTCAAGGGCCACTCTACTTTGTGGCCATCAGCAAGCTTGGAGAGAGCGACTCGCAGCTACGGGTGCAGCTGGAGGCCTTGTACATGCAGATTCTGTCGACGCTCACTCTGCCTTCCCTCACCAATATCTTCGCGAACCGGCCGTCCACCGACCTGCGCAAGCCACTGCAAGGAACCGAGGCTTTGCTGTCATCGTTAGCGGACAGCTTCACAAAAGGATCGCCCTCGGCATTGCTGAGCTCGTTGGAATGCTTGAAGCTGCGCAAGACGCAGCGCCACTCGATCAATAATACTTTTCTAAAGTCAAGGACCGACAAGCTGCTCTACGGACTCATCGTGGCGGGTGGCAAGCTCGTCAGTGTCATCCGGCCACGGCGGCATTCCCTCCATCCCAGCGATCTCCAGCTCATCTTCAACATGCTCTTCGAGTCGGAAGGCATCAAGGCCGGGGGCGGCGAAAACTGGATACCACTGTGCCTCCCCGCCTTCAACAACAAGGGCTATTTGTACATGTACGTCAGCTTCTTCGAAGGAGTGTCGGGCGAGCAGGCGACGGCACCGGCCGCGGCCGTGGGGCAGCCGGTCGACGAGGAAATTGCCATGATCCTCATCAGCGCGGACCGGGAGGCCTTTTTCAGTCTCAAACAGATGCGAGACGACGTCGCGCAGCAGCTGGCGAAGAACGGCAGCCTGGCCATTATCCGAGACGCTGCACGGGCCGGGCGCCCCAGCATGGCGCAGATCGCCCCGGGCAGCCCGATATGCCACTTCTTGTTCAAGTCGCGAGCGAATGTGCAGTTTTGCATGTCGGCGCTGGAGCCCGCCTTTGGGCAATTGGTCAAGAGGCGACGGCTCATGACGGCGTATCACGAGCTGCACGCTGCCACCCACGCAAAGAATGCGCACCTCAAGGTTTTGCAGTGTGTGAGCGACGACGCGACGTCGCTCGCTTGGCTTACTCCGACGTTTGAATTATATTGCATTGGCGGACCTAACTTGTCACGGGCAGCAATGGCGCAGGGTGCGAATAAGATTATGCAATGGATCAAGAGAGAGGAGCAACGGTTGTTCATCATTGGCGGCGGTGTATTTTGATGCCTTGTTTGAAAGGTTGGGAATAGAAAGAAGAAAAAAATATTGTCATAAATCGTTATCATACAGATTCCCATCTTAGCCAGCCGAAACCCAGGTGACAGTGCCCTGGACTACTGGTGATGGTATAGGTCAGCGAAGAGATTCCCACTGAGTCAGTCTCTTTTTTTTTTTTTTTTTTTTTTTTTCTTTCTTCCTTCTTCGGTAGGTTATTCTTTCTCCAAAGGCGTGTAGAATTGTTCTTTTGTTATTCCGCCGTAGTTCATGTTCCTTGGTTGCCGATGGTGATTTCTCCTCGGCTCACGCGGTCTTCTCTTACACGAGCTTGGGGATTTCGGATACGGTGATGATAGTCGGAGGCTGAGTGTGCGTGTTGCTGCGCTTTCCAAACATGGCCTCGACCGGCATGCCGCTGATCCTCTTGGATGCCCTCGACGACGCTCGCTCAACAGCAAACCCTTCGCCCAAGCGCGCCGGGCGCTGTCGCTTGATGGTCAGGGATCTCTTGGCCCACTGGAGGACCTTTTCGTTGACGCTCTCGCGGCGCTTGGGCACCTGGACCCAGGAGTCGTCGTAGCTGCGCTGGGGCGGCGCCTCGATCTTGTCCTTTGTCTCGACGAAGTAGGACGTCTTTGGCGGCGGCGGAGGGTCGAGGAAGGACGCGGAGAAGGGGGCGTCAAAGTCCTCGCGGAACCGGGGGCTCCGCATGGGGCTGCGTGGCTGGAACTGGAGGTCCGTCTGGCTCATGGCGGGCATCTGGAGGTGGAAGTCTGGGTTGCGGAGAGCCATGGTGATGGTCGTGGTCGTGGTCGTGGTAAGAAGGTAGATGAGGTATGTAGTAGTAGCAGTAGTAGTAAAAAGAGTCTGTGTTGTCAAAAGGACGACGTAGAAAAAGAAGAGGCCTTGCTTGTTTCAAGGACGAGTGTTTAAAGAACGAATGTATGTTTTCAGAAGAGAGCGTGTGTCAAAAGAGTGTGTTTGGATAAACGAAGGTGGTGGTGAAAGGGAAAAAAAAAAAGAAAATCAGGTCATTGAAGAAGCCGGTATCTGTAAAGAAGACCGATGACACTGCCTAGTACTTATGTTGTAGAAGACAGTCGCTCGGTCATTTGATCCCACGAGAGCTTCTCTCAGCAGCAACTCATCTCCCGGAAGAAAAAGGTGTGACCAGAAGGTTTTAAAATGAGAACCTTAAAAAGCCAACGGTTGACGAGATGAAAGAACAGAGTTTGTTCTTGTGTGTGTCTTCTCGGGAGAGCGGGAAAAGGGTAGAACGAAGTATTGAAGCAGGGCGAGAGAAGGGGAGTTTAAAAATAAATCAGAGAAGAAAAAAAAAGATTGGAGCTGCAGGTACACTCTCACACCTTGCATGGGCGCTCATGCACGACTTTTTTTTCCCTCGTCTGCCGGTGTTCCCCATCGATTCCCATCCGTCCATGCAGTAATAACCGAGACAACGTCGCCTTGACGGAACCACATGCAAGAGACAGGTCGAGGATTGCCGCATGCCGCTCATCCACTTCATCCACTCGAGTCCCCTCCGTTGCCCACCCGTGCCCCTGACTAGAGCCAGACTTGCGGGGATGCAGCCAGTCAACGATCCGGAGATGGCCTCTGTGGCCCCTCATCAGGGGCTTTTGGGGGCGCTAGGGTTCAGGCCCGGCAGAGCTGTCTGCGTGGATCCGTGGGTGGGAAGAAGAAGCAGAAGAAGAGGAAGAAAAGACGGTGGTTGCGCGATGTTGCGGGCTTGTGGTTGCCGAGAGAAAAGTCTATCTTATTGCGCAAGGGGTGGGGGGGAAGACTCTTGCAGATGCTTTCGCTGAGGAGCGTCCAAGGTATGGTATCTTTGATCACTGATGCCGGAAAGACATGGACGTTGGCGATGCTGCTACCCGTCACTTACACGCTCGTGCACAGCAGCAGGACAGACCAGAGGCAGGCTTCATTTTGTTTCCACGTTAATCTCCGATTCTATTCTAGAACAACTGTCTCGGGCCAGTGCCGACGCTTCATTAGCAAAGCGAGGCCTAAATAGGTGCAGCTGCTCGTACGGGGCAATACCACGTCCCAGCAAGCAGACAATCGGGGGAGCCCTGGCCACAACGACACGTGAGCCGTCCACGATGGGAAAATCATCTCGCCAACGTGCCCGCATAAACGAGGCCGGGCATCACCTGTCTGTCATACAGGGCACGTTGTCATTAGACTGCAAGCGCCCTGTGTAAGGCGGAGCCGGGGCCTGTCTGGGTGTTGTCTCTGCGTAGGTACATACCTTGGGTACTCGTATTAGGTATGGATGGGAAGCGCTGGCAAGGGAAGCCAACCGAAAGCAATGGAAATCAAACAAAAGCAACAAAGAAACATTGACCAGAAACGATGCACATCCCCGTCGCTTGGCAAGTCGAACAGAGTTCAGCTACTGCGTCTCATGTTGATGCCGGGCCTGGCTCGCCAATTGGCCGAGATGCGTCCCTCCCTCCATCTTTAAGCTCGTAGGTACGGTACGTTAGCTTAGTATCGCCTCTGGGTAAATGCCGGGTTCCTGGATTCCGCGGTTGTGTGGCAGACTCGCAGCACTTCTGAGTAGGTAGCACTGCTGGATGCGGTATCGTGAGTTGAGGCGGCACAGTTCAGCTGCTCGAGATTGGGCCACGGGTGTTTGTTCTGCGGCCGTTCGGTTAAATGCAGCCCCGACAGCGTACACACACCCATTGCTTAGAGTTTACGCGGACCAAACGGCGACATGTGACCTGTACAGTATCGGAAGCATCTGATATCTACCTAGGTATTTATCGCCTGTCGTCTGTCCGAGTCCTAGGTAGGTAAGGTAATCCTCGGGTACGGAGGACTAGCACCTCTTTCTCATGAGGCTACCTTATGGAGGGCATCGTGCCAGCCTCAACTGCCATGTGGCGACGGCTACTACTGAGATACTGGGGAGATACAGATGTCGCAAATACCACCTTGCATGTCAGAACGACCAACTGATTTGAAAGCTCGGGAGAAAGTATCTAGTAGTGCTAGATTTGGAGGTATTCTCCCGGCGCAACGGTAACATGAGGTCTAGGTGCAGGTTCGAAGGCAATGCATGTGGAAATTGCAGATGCTAATGGGGGTCAGACTCGCGTGCGAAGAAGAACAAGATACCGTGACAATGAGGGCAGTGAATTCGTGGCCTTGCTTCCCGCCTCTTGGACTGGACGGACGCTGAATCACCTGCACTCGCCCTGCACATCAGGATGCTGTTGATCAGGTGTAATTGTCGACTCTCGGGCCATGCATTCGTCAATCTTCCCATCTCGACACCAAGCACAAGTAACGGCTACTTCTCGTATACCTAGGTACCTATCATCTGGAGATCTTCTCCTCTTGGAAATGCTCCCCTCGACACGGCTTCATACAACTTCACACAAGCCCTCCTCGGCCAATTCGATACCTACTTGTAGACGCCGCAACTACTAGGTACCACTTGAGATCATGGCTGAACTCAAAGTCCTCCGGAGGTACCTTGATGGGACTGATGCACCGCCAGGCACTTCCACTCCCGGCTTCATTGGCTGACGGCGACAGCGACGCATCGTGGCTTCCTCCTCTAGGGTTGAAAAGCACTGGCTCCCCTCCGCGGTCGAACCTTCCTCACTGCAACTTGCCATCCTCGCTAAAGAGCCCGAAAGCTAAACACACCCGACGCCCTTGCCTCAGGTTATCAAAAGCCCCCAAACCTCCGTCTTTCGCTGCCTTGCCTTGCCTTGCCTTGCCTTTTCATCTTCTCTTGGAGATGCCTGTATCAAAACTGCCGGCTGCCCGCGATTTCTTGGAGTTGGTATATCGCCCTCGAGTTCTGGAGCTTTTTGATTCGCGCGTGTCGATTCGTCGTCTTTGGTTTCCCCCTTTCTTGACTTGATCCGGTCCCTGAGCTGAGCCCTCGCATGTTATTTTACTCTGTATTTCTTCCTCGGTCTGCCCAGAGATTGATGCGTTTCCATGGACGCTGCCCGGTTGCGACAGAGGTCTGCCAGTCATAGCTCGCTGCGCAGCCAGTATCGATATCAGTCCAGAATGAGCAACTACACTAATCCCCGGCCCTCTGGCCAACGACACCCCTTACGCAGCGTTAACGAGCATGCCGCTCTTCTGCGCTCCCCTGGGCCCCTGGAGAGCATGTTGAAGACCACAACCGAGACTGGAGACATCGGCATCTTTTCCATCAGGCCGAACCCTTCCTCAACCTTTGGGCGTCCGACAAGGTCCAGGTCGCATCCGAGGGAGGCAAGCCTGCCCTTCCCGCCACGCCCGTCAGGATATGATGAGAATTACTACAGACACCCGAATGACCGCAGGAGAATGCGGTCGTATCGCGATACCGCGTCTGAAATCATTTCTCTCTATGGCTCTGGAAGCCAACAAACGCTCATGTCGTCCGTCTCACCAGCTAGTCTCGAGGATGACCCCAGATCGTACTCCATGACAACGACACCCAGTTCAAAGAGGATCCCATCTCAGAAGTCTACAGGTACACTGCAGAGCCAGTCAAGTGGAAGTGGCTACCAACGTCCAAGATCTCCCTTTCCTTATCCGACTCGACTGAAGCGTCCGGGGGTCCGTCCGGCCTCTCCAGCTCTCAGGGACAATGGGGATGTAGACTACAGTAGAATGGTTGAGCTTGATCGGTTTTCCCAAGTGGGTCATCATCTCTGAGAGGCTTTGCTCGGACCTTTTCGTCACTGACTTCCTCGCAGAGAACTGTTCATGGGTCATACAAGCCTACTTTTTCCCATGGCTCTCGACGACCCCTTCCCACGGCCTTCCGGCCCGATGTCAACAGATCAACAATGTCTCTGCCATCAAGATCACTGACTTCGCCCTATTATCACTCACCAGCTCCCTGCGATGCCAGAGCGGCTGGCTCTTCTATGTCATGGGGAATCCCCAGGCAATCGAGTCGGCACCGCCGGGGTTCTGCGGACCAGAGCACTCGTTCGCCAAGTCTAACATCCATCGTCGAGATGTATGATAGACCGATAACCTCGAATGTGAACTGCGCCTCTCCTGTGCAATCCCCCGGCCCTTTGTTCTACGATTACAGTGAACAGTTTGAGGACGAGCCGCCTTGGGATGGGGAGATGGACTTACCTTTGCACCCCATACCCAAGAGAGCTGAGAACATCCGCCAATCTCTGCTGCTAATGGACGACATCGAAGGAAATTTTGACCTAGGCAGCAACTATTCAGACTCGACAAAATCCGATGCCCAGGCTGCTGGAGAGCCTTCAGCAGAGCCGTGTCACTCGCCGGACGCCGTAGATTGCAACACTCAAGACACGGAAGCAAAACAGCTTACTCCTGGAGACGATCTGCATGCTATAGGATCCGACTCGCCTGTTCATTCGAATCCATGCGGCGTCCCTATGATTACCATATGTGACGAAGAAGACAGTCAACCCAGGAGGTTGGTCAATGATGCATCGCCGGATACAGAGGCAGATGCAGTCGATATGCTTTCACTGATGAGCGATTCATCTTCGTTGCGATCAAACTCCCCGTTGGAGACCCCTCCGAAAGTGGCAGAGACCAAATTTGATGTGGTTAGCGAATTACAGAGTCGACAGCCATCTCAAGTCGGCTTTTCCAAGGCGAGATATTCGCTAGATCCAGCACTCTCTGAACTCGCTTCAATTGTGACATCCTTTGACCACTCAGAGAGAGTACCAGGTCCTAAGGACGGCGAGGTCCAATGCGTGAGCGGAGAGCGCCATGATACCTTTGTGTATTCACAAGGCGAGCCACATCCTGGTGCTCTGAACTGGTCGAAGAGGTGGCCGTCACCATCACCGCCCCGGAGGGTCGGGGAGGAAGGCGGCGTATATCAGAAACGCCATCGCAGGAATGGCGCGGCTTCACGAATCAGCATCACTGGCATCGTCCCAGACAGCTACATAAAGCGTACCCCTGAGCGGCGAAACAGCCTACAGATTCTCTCACCGGCACCAATTTCCCCCGCACGACAGCTGAGAGTCAAGGAGAGCATACCTCAGTTGATGAAAGCATTGCCTCCGCTGCCAAGAGAAGCCGAAAAGCTATCAGGGTACGGTACCGCAGGTATACCAACACCGTCCGATTATATGGCAAATGACCCTTTGATGTTGAGCAGAGACGGCCTTGCAGAAATGAAGCGGCGGTTGGAAGCGAGGCAAAAGGCTGCACCGCCCACGACACCGCAAGGCTTTCAGAGCACGCAGCCGAGATTCAGAGTGAGAGCCCATGCAACACCATCATCCCTACTCGGCAAATCCGGTGCCGCGGCGTGTTCGACTTCTTCGCAAAGGCCAACGTTTACCAGCACTCAAGAATTCTACGGCTCAGCATCGCGATCAAAGCTGCGGCTCAAAGCAACACCGAGCCAGGCTGGCCAAGTTCAGTCGGACCAGAGCTGGCTTTCGCCATGGAGCAACCGGCTGAAACAATGCAACTCGCTGGCAGAGCTCTCGCCATGTATCAAAAGGGATGCTTTCGATGACAAGGGCGAAATTGACAAGGGCACCAAGGGGCGAGGATCGAGCTTTGATTCGAGCAGTTGCGACTCGGTGACGGTAGAGGTCAAGCCTATCCGATTTGAGCCTTCACCACAGCCATCCGATCAGTTCAATATCCCCTATCCGCCTTCGCCAGCCAAGGCAGAGGTACACCCAAGCGCTATCCCGCCAGTGAATTGTGGTGCGCTATTGGTCGAGACAGGAGACAGCTGCGCTGGTCATCGGCCAAGCGAATCGCACGGGCTTCGGGGCAAGCTTTCGATGCTTCGGCTACGATTTGCCAACACGCAGAAGTATGAGGGGGCGATGCTGCCTGTTACAACTACAGTGCCTACGCCTGGGATAATAGCCAACCAAAGTATAAACGAATGGTACAACGCAGGGATCAATAGCAATCCGGAACGACCTGCTGCTGAACAGGAGAAGGTGGAATGGCGCGTCAAGAGGTGGGCACGAGCTGCTAGGAAGGCTGTTCGTCTATATGTCAGGAAAACCCTGGAACGGTCTCCCAGGGCAAGCGCCTGATGGCGAGGACAGTGCGCTGACTTGAAATTTGAATTGTGCGCAGAAGAGTGCCTCTAATGACTACTAAGCTATACGGCACTTTGGGCATGGCAAATAGCAACATATCGTGAGGGTCTATGGGGATAATGGAAGAGGAGACATGTGGCGCGGCCGAGAGGGGTCTGTGAATTATACGCTAGCTAGCAGAATACCTAATCAAGTATGACCTCTACGTTTGAGCAGCTGCAATGACACATGCATTTGTTCAGCTTGATCGGAGTGCGTCCCCGGGGGGGCAGCCTTCTCCCGCTTTCAGGCACATGCCTCGTGACGTGTTGCTCGATCTTGGCCTTGTTTGTTCTTAATCGGCGGACCGGCGTCTGGGGTGAAATGCCAAAACACCAACCATGGCTTGCGGAGGCGCAACTCCGCCCCGATCATTATTCACAGCTGGGGGCGTAGAGGCTGCCTTGGCTGCCTTGAACAATGCCTTAATGAATGGAATATGCCTTCCTATCGCGAGCTTAATGTCTGGTGATGGCTGACGGATGTTGTCCCTACCTGAGTTGCTGCAGGTTTCAGCTATTGTCGCTTAAACACCATGGTATGCTAAAGGTATCTACCTTAGGTATGTAAACGTGGGAAGCAGGCAAGTATATATATATACCAGCTGTAAGCCCTTCACCACTGGAGTTGCAAAGCCCTGAATACTCTCATTAGACGAAATAGCACAATGATCAAGAGATCGATCGTCACTGGGCAACAGGCCCGACTCGCCTCGCGAAACGGGACACACACGACGTCAACTTCAGGCCTGGCACCCGGCCATCTCCAAGCCAACCTCATCATCCTGCCTTCACGCTACGCAAGCGATTTCCGCACTCTCTGTGCGCGGAACCCCGTGCCATGCCCTCTGATTGCCGAGTCTGCAGCCAAGGGCTGTAGCGATGCCTTCATATCTCACCTGAAGAAGCTCGGCGGCGACGAGATTCTCGGACGAGGCAGCGATGTCAGGCGAGATGCGCCGCGATACATGGTCTACAAGGACTCGAAGCTGGAAAAGAGCCACTGCGAGGAGGTGACGGCGGAGTGGACGGACGACCACATTGCGTTCCTGATCGGGTGCTCGTACTCGTTCGAGACGGCGCTGGTGGAGGCGGGCCTGGCGCCGCGGCAGCTGGTGCAGGGGCGCAACGTGCCGATGTACAGGACGACGATGGGGCTGTGCGCGGCGGGGGTGTTTCGGGGCGGGACGTATGTCGTGTCGATGAGGCCGTATAGGAAGGGGGACGTCGAGCGGGTGAGGGAGGTGACGAGGAGGTTTGGGACGATGCATGGGGAGCCGGTGGATTGGGGATGGGATGCGGTGCGGAGGCTGGGCATTGGGGATATTGATGGGCCGGAGTGGGGGGACGGGCCGTTGGATGAGGGGGGTGTGATGGGGTTTGGGAGGGCGAGGAGGGAGAGGCTTTTGAGGGAGGGCCGTGGTGGTGATGGTGAGGATGAGGATGAGGATGAGGATGAGGAGGAGGAGGTGCCTGTGTTTTGGGGGTGTGGAGTGACGCCGCAGGAGGCGGTGATGAGGGCGGGTTTGGAGGGGGTTGTGATGGCGCATGCGCCGGGGCATATGCTGGTGCTGGATGCGAGGGATGAGGATATTGTAGAGTGAGGTTGATGGTGGTGGTGGTGATGGTGATGCTCAGATGTGGTGTGGTGATTGATGTCTTTATCTTGATGGAGTCAGCTGTATTATAGCGAGAGAACAGGGACGGCAGCTTCAACTATATACACGAGTCAGGTTCCTCAATTAGTGTCGATCAAGTCTTCATATCCAAAGTGTCGAATCCGGTCTGTTGTGAGTCTGATGTGCCCACTGGAGGATGCAAGTTCTAAGTTGAAGATCTGAGACGCCTGCGTTCGACCTTCACTGCGTCAAAGGAGGAGGTCTTCAAGGTCGGTCGGCAACCGGCAAGAAGTCCATGTCGCTAGAGGCGTCAAAAGTGTCTCTAATGAGGTACATGTACTAGTAGTGGAGGTGAGGCTAGGTCGGTACATAGTAGTGCCACCAGAAGAGCACATAAAACACAGCATCAGCTGAGGATCCTCACACTCATCCGTCATCTCATGTCCCATCTTTAACTCGTCATCTTTCGCTTTGTTTCGCAACATCGTTATCAATTGACTTGACAACGCTCAAGATTCTTTGTATGACTTATCAGCAGCTATTGTAGCAATCTGGTAGCCGCAGCACAACGATGGACGAGCCCCTCTTGGGAGACTCCATCAGGACATCGTGAGTCCTCTCCCCGTCAACTCGAGGCTGAACTTTTGCTGACGAATTGGACGCCTTTAGCTGTGAGCGATGCCGTCGTCGCAAGGTCTGTCTTGGGCTCTCTTCCGTGGATGCCGCTTGGTGCTATTTCGAGGCTGACGCTACTTAATTTGCACCCATAGATCAAATGTGATCGGAAGCGTCCCTGCTCCAGATGCGCCAAGGCCGGCACCGAGTGTGTCCTTCAAGGTATCGGGGAGAAGCAGCGGTAAGACGGAAACTCGTCGTGGGCTTGACCAGGCGCTGAGGGTTGGACCTGTGTACTGACAACGATGCCGAGCAGGCCGGTCTCAAAGAGCTATGTCCAGGCCCTGGAAGGCCAAATTGCCGCTCTCGAGACAGTGATCCACAAGCTCGCCCTGGCAGACGACGCGGAGCGGACGCAAATCATCTCTGATCTTTCCCTGTCTTCGGCGGCCCCCAGCGTGCCGTTGGCCGAGGCTGGTCCGGCTGACCTCAAGACGGACCCGAGCCTCGCCGCTGCCCGAGTCAAGTCCGGGCAGTTGAGGCGGCTGAGAGGAAGCAATGCTGCGCAGTTCTTCGGCGGGACCAGCTTGCTTCAGATACACTTTTCACAACAGTCGTCGTCGTCTGTGGCAGCAAACTCCACGGCCATGGAGTCTCTGGCCATTTCCACAGATAGCCAGCCTTACAGCAACAGCAACAGCAACAGCAACAGCCACAGCATCGGCGTCGCTAACAACGGTAACCCCAGTTTGGAACTAAGCGAGCTATATGGCGAGTTTGACGATCTCAGCCCCATGGGCGCATCGTTTCAGTATGAGCCTCACCATGAGACTTCGCAGAAGATGATGTCGCGATTCTTCCAGGAGGTCTATCCGTACAACATGGTTGTCTACCGCGAGTACTTTTTGAGAGATTACGATGTTGGCTCGGGGAAATACTACTCAGACGTTCTGTTCTACTCCATCTGCGCTCTGGGAGCTCTTCAATGCGACGATATGCTCAATCTCTCCGATGTCTTCGCAGGCCAGGCTCAGACACTCCTTTACTCAACTCTGGACAGCCCCGACCTGACGGTTCTCCAAGCTCTCGTTCTGCTGGGCTACCGCGAAATTGCCGTAGGGCGGGCATCCAAGGGCTGGCTGTTCTGCGGCATGGCTTTCCGTCTCGCGCACGAAATGGGCCTCCATCTCGATCCCACCAACTGGCAGGGCCCTACCCACGAGGAGACGAGCGGCGACAGGGAAATCCTGCGCCGAGTCTACTGGGCAGTCTTCATCGCCGACAAGCAGCTCAGTCTGTATTTTGGGAGACCGCCAGCCTTGTACCCCAGCGAGTCGGACGTGCGAAATACCATCCGGCTGCAATACCCCCCCGGCTGGCAAGGCCTCTTGGAGACGTACATTTGCAAAGGATCGTCGGCCAATGAGTGGGACAACGGTGTTACCCTCGTGGGCTCGTTCATATACCGAGCTGAACTGGCCAAGATCATTCATCTCATCATCACGGATTTGTTCGAGAATCGGAGGGGAGGCGCGGATCCCACCATTATTGCGACCAAGACGCGGAGGATCCACGTTTTGTTGACGAGGTGGCTCACAAATCTTCCCAGTTCGTTGCATTGGAACCAGTGGACGGTTGGCCAAGTGCCTCCATACGTTTTGCATCTACAGTAAGTTGGACAAGTTGCTTTGCGTGGCACCCCCTACTTCTTTGTGCCACCTACCTAAAGTCGTTCTTTATCGTGACTGATCCAAATATCAACAGCATGATGTTCCATACCATCATGATCATCCTCCACCGCCCGCCTTCGCACATGTTCGAGAACCCAGGCATCGCCGACAGCGAAGACGTGGAGATCTGCTACGAATCTCTACAGGCAATCCTCCGCCTCATGCGGAGCTACTCCCGCTACTACCGCTACCGGTCCCTGCCCCTCGACTTTGTGCACACGCTCTCCACCGCCGCAAGCACCGTCATGATGAAGCGCTTCCTCCAAAAGGCCTCGTGGAGCGACCCGGACATTGAGCGCGCGCTGTCGCTCATCATGCAGGCCATGGACGAGATCCAGAACACCTGGCCGTGCGTGCGGGAGATTCGGGACGTGGTCCTGCAGGCGCAGCAGACGCAGGCGACGATGCCGCCGGAGGATCCCCTCAATGCGCCGGGCCTGATGAACGGACTGGAGGTGGATCACGATGGTTTCCTGGCGAATCTGGGGGAGGACGTTGATATTGGGACGTTGATTACAGACGAATTTCTCAGTGCGCAGGTGCCAATCCTAGAGCAGGGTCTGGAGCCATTTGATTTCAACCAGTTGTCGGGACCTCCCTGAACGGTTTACGACATGTTGATATCTTTGCCCTACTCAAGCCGTAGGTACATACCTACCTATCCTCAAGGCATGGGAGAACAAGCCCATCTTTCCACCTAGTAGTAGACTAAACCCTATGTGTTTTGTCGGTGGAGGAGGAATCATCCGGGAGCAAGTAGCCTATTCGCACTTCGAGAACATCTCCGGAAGCTTTCGGGCAACCGACTCCGACGGCAAATCTAACGACGGGAGACAATTTGGTCAGGGTTCAAGGCCAGAACACTCGTCCTTTGCCGGAACAGGACACTACGATGCGGCCGTGCGGAGCCGTGCATCTGTGCTCCCGTATGTACTCTGGAGATCCTGAGGGGTGATTCACCGCCACGTCCAGGCTACCAGGTCCAGACTTGCCGGGTCGGAGCCCTAACGGCTGTGGACATGCTTTGTTGTCGGTTGCTGGACTGCTCTTGGGAGTGATGTGCTCTCCATGAGTGCTATACTAACATGCAGGACGTTTGCCCAAGTGAATCCCTTCTTGGGCTGGATACAGGAGAAGCAGTTGGGTGGCTGACTTGAAGGCATCTGTTGGGGGGGTTCCAAGTGGTCCTGAGGTGTGCCGTTGAGGGAGCGCAGAGAATCGAATGCGACTCCCGGTGAAGATAGGGCTAGTATATTACTTTATAGCTTGAGAAATGCATCAGCCTCCGCGATCATCCCCCGAACCTCTCGTGTTCTCATCATTCTTCTCAAGCGTACAAACTACAACTAACTACATTCCTCCATAAGTCTCGGGTCGGTCCCGAACAGAAAAGAAGCCTCGGTTCCGGTGAGCTAAAAATAGGACCCTTTGACGGGAAGAGTGGAGAAAGAGCCAGGGCCATTGTGTTTGCACCTGATCCTTTGGGCTTAGGCTGCTGAGCAACTGGTCCGATGCTATTGATGGAGATTTATGCCCGTGTAGGTATTACTCAAGGGTGGAAGACGAGAAGCTTTGTCAATCAGGGGGGTTTACGGGGAAAATGCATTTATGTATTGCGACTGAAGGCTCATAGGGGCTGGATCAGATGTAGAAGAGGTGGAATGCCAATGGATAAGGGGTGCTTTTCGGTCAGAACTGGGTTGTATTAATGAGCTGTAGGCTGGCCTATTTAGAATCACCATGGCAATGGGTCTAATAAAGAGATTACAGCCGCATTTGAATCTTAGAGATTTTCCATCACTAGCAAAGGAGGATAGGCCCTCTAAATCTAGTACAGTCGAGACGGATACGACAGACAGAGTATGTGAGAACGCACGTCGGCCAAATCCGTAGCTCAACGGCAAGGGAGGCAAGGAGGATCTGCAGCGATAGCTGGGGGAGGTATCTGTAATCTGTGCGCGCATGTAGATATGCCGATGCGGTGAGATTGTGAATAGAGAGCAAGGTACCTACGGAGAATAGGTACCTGGTAGAGGGCGATTCCCCATTTGCTTCAGGTGACGTTAAAGAGTCAAGATAGTACTGCCCAGCGTGAGGGGAGTTCGTACTTGGTCGATTGGAGCATCCCCAGCGATTAACGCAGTGTTAGCAGATATACACGGCGATCCCGTTGGCGAACATGAAAGAGCGTATAGAGATCCAATAAGGTATGGGCCATCAATACTGCCGGCGACTCTTGTACTGTTACACTACATGTACTAGGAAGGCATTGCCGTAGGCCATGCAGCATTGAAAGAGGCGTTATTACGAGAAGGACATGGATGCGCTTCGTGTGAGTGGGCATACCTCTAGCATAGCTGGCGACTCCTCGAATGTTTCTGACAGGCGATGAGCACATGGATGTCATTCGTGAGGATACAATCAACTCATCTTTTCTCGTCCAGCTTTGGTGTACCGTCTCTGTAAGTAAGACAAGTACCGTATTTCTCGATAGGTATGTTCCCAGGTGCATACCGTACATGTCCATGAACACAAACGGCGTCATCGTCATCATCATCATCATCATCAGTCAGCCCAAGAGCGCTACAAGGCCGCTAAACCGCCCAGCTGGTGATGCCTCCAGGGCGCCGCCGCGGCACTAGCAGGCCTGGTCGGGGGGGTCGGTGCGGACGCTAGAACCCAGAGCTCAGCTTCTAAAGACGCCCGGGGCATGGATGGCCAAAGGAGGGCCTGATGGCCACCAGCAGGTTGCCGGTACCTGCGGAATGGCCTCGTCGGCACGCGCCATGCAAAGTCCCGAGTACGCAGTTGGTGCCACTGCGTATTACAGGTACCTACAAGGAAGCAGTGGGCAGTTCCGCGCCATGGCTTCTCAGTTGCACCTGCTTTGCCTCGAGAAGCGCCTACAAACTACTAGAGCCTCTCAGCCACGCTTCCTCCGCCTCATTGCTCCTTTAATCCCTTCCATCTTCTCTTCTCTAGATCGTCTTCGCTTCCCTCTTCTTGTCGCTTCGCCGTTGCAGCAGCTGCTTACTCCGCTGGACCACCAATCTGATAGCGCTTCTTCTTCTTCTTCTCTCTCTCTCCCTCGCCGGCCGTCGCCTGGACATGCCGCATCGTCGCCCGGGCACCACGAGCTGCTGATTTTGCTAGCGGAGCAGCGTCATGGACGACGCCTCGGCGCCGGCAGAGGCGCGACGGTTGAGCATCGAAAAGGTGCCCATTGTCCCCGAGGCGCCGCCACCGTTCGACGGCCTACCCGACGAAATCATCGAGCAGTGAGCATCTCTCCCCTTGGACTGGTCGACGGGGCGCGGGCGTTGCTGTGATGGCCCAAGACGAGAATGGCAGACCAGGAGCAATGTCGGGAAGAGCAGCGAGATGGCCACAAGACGGGAGAAAGGGCAAAGCATCATGGAATCTAACGGGCCGCATCACAGGATACTCCTCGCCACGGATCCCAATGGCTTCGCCTCGCTCATGGCGCTCAACCGCAAGTGGCGGGACGTGTCGCAGCGCCCGCACCTGTACCGATATCACCTCGCTCGATGTCCGACGTATGCGGCAAACACAGCCAGCTTGCCATCTGCCGATACCGACAACTTGCCTCTTCTGCGACAACTATTTGCCAGGGAAATCAAGCGAAACCTCTTTGCATCCTACGTCCGGCCAACCGTCACTCTCGTCAAGCTCGTGTCCAAGGCTATCAGCTCGTCGTCATGTCCAGGCGGAGAAGGCATGGGCTTCACCACGTCGCCAAACGGCCATTACGTGCTGGCGTACAATTCGTCCAGGATGTACCTCATCAACGCTGCCGGGTCGGGGATCGAGATGAAGCGCGAGTTCAAGATGCTGCGCCGTCCGGTCTCGGCCTGTGTCTCCAACGATGCCACGCTCCTGGCCGTGCTCTCCACCGAGATGCAGGTTGATATCTACGATCTGAAGCAGTCCCCGCCCAAGCGAAAGCAGTCCATGATCCTCGACAACAACCCGCGAACCATTGCGCTGTCGCCCTGCGGCACCGTTCTCACCGCAGCCTACGACGGCGGCATCGAGGTCCAGTCGCTCAGTCGGGGGGCCTCTCCCACCGAGCGGCGCGCTGTCAAATGCGATGCGGTGGATGCCTTGGCTTTTTCGTTTGACGGCACCCAGATCCTTGGCACAACCCTTCATTCGTCTCCACCGAGCACCGTCGTCATCACCGCGCCGTACTACGACCCCGGTGCCCTGTCAATGGAGCAGGGAGAGGAGAACCTAAGCGCAATGTGGACCACGTCCATACTGTTCCCCAATTCCAGCCGTGACTGCAGCCATGCCGTGCTGCTGCAGGACGGGAGCCAAGAGGAGGCCGCCTGGGCGTTTGCATACGATCGCACCTTTGAGACCTTTCGAGCCGTCCGCATTGACGACCTGAGAAATGGCACCACGCACTTCACCGGGCCAGTGCCCAAATCGAACTCGCAGGCCAAGTTGCTCCCTTGCACGCTGCCTTCGGCCACGTATCATGGCGAATTGGTATCGGCGTGCTTCCACGGCAGCGAGGTCTGGATCTATGGCGTGCCCGAGGACTTGTCCGCAGTGCCTGAGGCCTCCTTGGCCGCCGACAATGCCTCTGGTCTGGCTCGGAGGAATAGCGCCCAGAGCCACTCTTCGCGATCGCCATCGACGAGAACACAAGAGGTTGTCCCTCCCACAGATGGCACCGTAAGAGTTCCTCAATGGCAGATTCTGTGTGATAAGCTCAGGAACAACTTTGTAGCGGGACACAAGACTTCGGACTTCATTGGCGTGACCAACGTCAAGTGGGTGTCAGGATTCGGCGACACTTTGCTCAAGGAGAGGCTCATTGTCACCGCCTCTGGAGTGGTAGGGCCGAGGCTCGTCACCGACGACGAGGACATGGATTTTGTTGATGGCGGTAGAATCGCTCTTCTGGATTTCGGATATGCCCTTACTGACGGAACCAAGACCGAGATCACCCTCGAGGTTGGGACTGACGATGCCGAGGTCCTCGAAGAGGAGAAACGTGATATCGAGACCGAAGTTGCCATTGTACGGCGGAGGACGGTAGCCCAACGCGGAGGAAGAGGAGCCAGGAGGGGCAGCTTGACGCGAACGGCAACAATCGCCGTTACGCCAACGTCCTCCGCCACGGCCGTGTCACCCATTTCGCCGGTATCGACAAGGAGCAACGAGGACGACGACCCTTTGGTACCGCGTACGATGGGCCGTAACCCTGCTGCAGAGCGCCCAATCATCCGCGAACCCGTCGTCGACGAGGAGGAGTTTCTGTCGATAGAGGAACAGGAAGCTATGGATGCCCCCTATGCTCATTCCAGCCCGCGCTCAGGGACGACGCTCCGTCGAGCAGCCACAGTTGCCGCCGCTAGCCGCCGGCTGAATCCGCGGACAGCTGATGGGCGGCCCATAGAGTACCGTCGAGCAGACGGCAGGAGAGAGCATCCGCACGAAAGCGATGCCGACAACTGGGTCCCACCGCCGCCTCCGTATCAGGCCGAGGATCCAGGAGACGCGCCCGCTTTTCTTCGCGGGCGAGCAGTCCTGGCGGCTGTCTCGGTGCCGGGGCAGACACAGCAATATCTGGCTCTGCCGCTGCCTGAACAGCATCCCGCAGACCCCCTTCCACCTCAGCTGCCGAGTCTGATTATTCCACCCAATCTGTCGTCAGTCTCCGTCCATGGGAACAGCAACTATCATGAACAGGGCGGGTCAAGCCATGCTAGGGCTGCGAGCGATTCTTCAGTAGTCAGCAGACTGCGAGCTGCCGACGAGCTGCATCTGCCCTTGTCAAGCACGTCTGGTCCGTTGGATCATGGAGATATATACGATGTCTCTCCTCCTGCCTCGCCCATGAGGGTCCGAACTCGGGACAGCCATTCCATGGTCACTTCACAGGATTCCGCAACACCACAACCGACGACAGCAACGTCAAGCACTTCAATGGGCGTGTATGAGAGCAGTCCGGCTACGGTAGGCCCCTTGGTGCATCCCGAATTCGACTTTGGCTCGCCGGGGCTCGGGTTCGAGAGTGCCTCGAACTCAGCATTAGAGGCCAGCAGTGCCTCGAGTCATATTGGACGAAGGCTGTCTAATGCACAGACCTGGCCATTGGTTTCTCCATCATCTGCTGACAGACAAGAAACTGCCTCCACCTCCACCTTGGAAACCTCCCGTTCAGCCTTGCCACCGGCTCCGAGCTCCGATCAAATGGCCAGGCTCATACGAAGAGTGAGCCAGGGCCATCCCGTTAACCTAGCCGGCAGTCTGCACTCGACGCAGTACCAGCAACTACATCGGCCGCAGCCGGTTGCCGGCTCGCTGGCTACCACGCCAACAAACGTTCCCGACACGGACATTGACCAGCCCCTGATCATCAGCACTCCACGCGGCGTGGGCGGTGCCTATGATCCCCCGGGACGCAGAGTCTCCCAACGCGGCGACACACCCATTGTGGCTCCCGTGCCTAGGCGGCCTCGCGCCACAGGCGGCTCTGCTGCTCCGGCCACGGTAGAGGTGCTGGAGACAATCTCCACCGGAGGCCCTCAACCGATACAGCAAACCAACCTCGTGTTGCCGACGTGGATGCGGGGGCCGCCGGCATCGCCTGGGAGGCAACCGTCCACCGTCAATAGACGGCCGAGTCGAGCCGAGAGGAGCGCGGCCAAGAATATGCGAGACGCGAAGAAGCGCGGGTGGACAGCCAAGAAGAAGAAGAAGTCAAAGGAGACGCCTAAGCCAGCCATTACCGAGGAGGACAACAATGGCAGCATCTGGATGGACATGGACGTGCCGCAGACCAAGGAACACGACAAGGACAAGAAGTGCAACGTTATGTGATGAATGACTTCCACGGCTTTTGGCTTTCCGTTTTTCTTATTCTCAGCGACAGCCACGGATTATCGAAATGGCGCCAGCACAGCATTTGTATCATCTCCCAGCAAGCGAGCTTGTGGTTTCTCTGCCAGTTCGAAACAATGATTCGCCAGTTTGAAAAAGATTCTCTGATTTATGTGGGATATCGAATCTCATGGGTCACAGTATTGTCAATGGGATTTTTTGCTTTTGTAACTTTATTCAGTTGGGAACATTTTCTATCCTAATGAACATTCTTCATCAGCGGCATAGCAGAAGGGCAAAGATGGATGGATGAAAAGCGAGAGCGAACAGCAAGGCAAAGCGTGTTGAGCTTTTCGGTGTGTGTGTGTTTGAAGAATCGAGGGTTTTGGAATCTTTCTTTGTTTAATGAGACTTGTGGGATTTTGGCTTTGAGCGATGATTTGTCTGAATATTTGTACATGGTCATACTCGATTTGAGATACATATATGTACAGCTGCAGCCATAATCTGTCATATCTGATGTTTTCTGGTAGGTAGCGAGAACATGATTGAGAATACATATATATATATATATATATACATACCTATAAACTCAACAGAGTAATCACCATCTTGATGCTCTTGTCATCTTCGTCGATTGCGTGTATCATTTGTCCAAGCCAACTTTTCAAAACACTTTTCCAATCTTTTCTGAGTACCTATCTAAGCTATTAAAACTCAACCAGATAATTACCATTTCCCTCAATAAGCACGAACCACCTGATCTGATCCTATCTTACTCATGCCGCTCCATTGGTATAACCATTCGATCCCCCCGGAAATCGTCGTCAAATTACACGCCTCATGCAGCCCAGCCGCCCATCGGGACAATGGTCCCTGGTATATATACCTTACACAAAGGAAATATATATCGTTATAAAGATGGATCTCCCTTTTTGTCGAGATTCCATAGGTATCACTCATTCTTTGCTTGACAAAGGAAATAACAGAGGGAAAAAAAAAACAAAGATCCCTTTTCCGTCTCTCGTCGCCGTATAAACAATCTTTCTAGGGAGAATTAAGGGGGGTTTGCAAAACAAAGGAGAACGTGAAACGGAAAACACAAAAGACCAAAACCAGTATGCTTGTGATTGGCGAGAAACAAAGGAGAGCAAGACAGACTCTCTTGACAAGAGACAATTATTGCTGTTATATCCGGTTCATGTGAGGAGGCAAAGGAGGCATAAGATACGGCTGCCCGCGCCGCACATCGCCAAGATCAGCCTCGATCATGAGATCGGTAAAGGTGGTGGCGTGCGTCCCGCGCCGATCATAGTTGCCCGTCATTGTGAAGGGGTCGGCAAACACGTCAATGTTCTCACCACTCGACACCCTGTGAAGGTCCTGCGGATAGACTCGCCGGCTGGAAGCTCGCATGGCTCTGATGGGGGGCAGTCGAGACCCAGACCCGACGACGCCCGTACGAGCGTTCCGCTCGTCCTCGGAGGTGACAGAGTCGCGATAGCCCGTTGGCGAGTGGTCTGAGTGGTTCGATGGACTGGGAGAATCAAAGGGATTCGGGATAGACAAGCGCTGGTGCGAGTGGTTATTGCTGAGAGCAATCTGCGGCGGCCTCTGGCTGATGGAAGAGCCGATGGAAGGACTCTTGCGAATGAAGTCGGCGCGGTACGAGTTGGGCTGGAGGATGGGGTCGGAAATGATGCTGCCGGCTCGAGGGCCGGGGCCAAGATGCTTGATCCTTCCCACCGTCGGCTTCTCGGAGTAATCATCCTTCCTGTGGAGGCTGCGGCGACGAACGAAGAGGAACGCAATGGCTCCCAGAACGATCAGAACAGCACAGCCTCCGATAACACCACCGATGATGGAGACGGTCTTTGGGTTGGAAGCATGCGAAGACGACGGATCCGGCGTCCCAGAACTTGCATCGGCTGTGGGCGATGAGGTTGAAGGAGAGGTTGGCGACGAGTCTGGCAGTGTCGCCTCTGATGAAGCCTGCGACGAGACTGGCGATGAGACTGGCGATGAAGCTTCCGATGAGGCTGGCGCGGTGGTGACAGGCGCAACGACCAGGCTAGTGCTGAACGTGGAAGGCGGCTCTGTAGAGGCCGGCGCAGAGTTTGCCGACGTTGCGCTTGCTGGTGAAGCCGTCGTTGACGAGGTAGCCTTCTCCGGAGCCTCGCTCTGATCGGAATCCTTGACGCAGAGGTCGTCTCCGGAACAAGAGTACCCAAAGGGACAGCAAAGGTCGGCGCCGCACTTTTCCAACGGGACGTTAAAGACGCTGGTCTTGATCGGAGACTGCTGGTTCTTGCTCGGATCCTGCTGGCTGACGTCGCAGGTGATGGGCTGGATCTTTTCGCACGTCTGGCCCGTGGGACAGCACATGGCAGTCGTGTTGCCGGCTAGCGGGAGACATGTTGTCCCCTCAGAGCAGCAAAAGTTGTTGGGCAGGCCGGCAGGGCAAGACTGGGTGCCCGCGGAGCATTTCAGTTCTTGAAAGACGAGGCCTGCCGGCGAGGCTGAGACGAGTGATGCCAATGCTGAAACCAGCAGCAAGAGGCGAGCAGACCGTGATGTGAGAGGCATGATGATCTGGCCACAGCTTCAGCCGTACGGTCCAACTTGGTGATTATACGGCCCTCGTCCCCTGGAACGGACAGAATGTGTCTGTTTGCTTCCTATCTTGTATGAATGGAGGCAGGAGTGGAAGTCGGTGTCGATCAGGAGTTGTCCTCGAAGCCGTGATTTTTTCGGAGATTTTCTGGTTGGCTGAACAGTCGTCTATATCGCTGACGATGTGTTTGGTAATGAAAGGAAGTGGTGAGACAGAGAAGAGAGAGAGTCGACGCGAGGGAGATCGTGGATATCGTATGCCGTATCAGAGATTGAACAATGTGCCTATAAAGGCAAATGACGCACATATACCAAACACCGGGAAACGAGACAAGCAATGAACGGTTGCCAGTATGTGAATGAACGTGACATGAACAAGCAAGAGAGATGAAGAAAACTGGAGAGAAACACGGGAGAATGCAGAACAGACAGCGGTGAATGGAAGAATAGAAGAGAAAAAAATGGGTAGGGCAAGAAGCTCGAAGAGACTCAGTCACGAGGAAACGCATCATGAGAGACAAGAACGAGGCCCCCCCGGGACACGGAACAGATCAGACTCTTGCCATGCCGATATCTGCAGAGGATAGGCGCGCAATCGGAAGACTCTGGCGTGTTGAGGCCGCTCCGGGGCGTCTCAGAAGCGGCAGCATGACCGTGGCTCCTGGCACAAAGACTCCATATCCCCCTTCATCTGCCCTGCGGCATGCTGCCAATGCTTGGGCACAGCGTTTCTTGCTCGGGAGTCGGGACCCTGTTCACCACGTCGACCACGAGCACGTTTCAAAGCCGTGCTGCACCCGCCAGCGAGTGAATGCAGGTCCGCCAGGCTGTCGAAACAAGGGCCGAGCAGCCTCTCGACGATCCAGGGCCAGTCAAGGCGAGGCATCAGGGCGCCAGTGCCACTCGACACACGCCCACGCGGACAGGGGGGGCATCGACTGGAGAAGGGTTCTCGAGAGGCATCGTCAGTTCATGTATGTAGGTCATACGGCTTCAGGGCAGAGGGGGACGGAGCTTCGGCATGGAAGTGAGCAGCAGGCCGGCAAACGACTGGCCGGCAAGGCAGCGGCAGAGACGGGGCGATGCGTCATGGCTGATGCCCAGGATCTGGCAGCGATGCGGATTTGCTGGAGGTCGGAGCGTTGAAGCGTCGAGGTTTGCACGTCTGGGGTTTCAGGCTTGGGCGCGCGCGGGCAGATGGTTGGCGCTCATTGGCTCTCGCTGGTTGGCTAGAAAGCTGCTGGCGGGCGATTAGGCGCCTGGAGTGCTGGGGGCTAGCCGCTGGGGGGGGCGTCGTTGGGCGCCTAGAGCCAGCACTGGAGGTGCCGATGAGCGCTGAGGGCGCTGAGGATCCGCTGGGGATGCACTGAAGGACGCAGAGGGAGAGCCCTGAGGAGAGACTTGATGGATTCAAGGTATGTAGACGATACATGGAGCATGCCTGCAACTGCACAGCAGCGTTTGAGAAGCTGGGCGCTTACGGACAGGCGAGGGCGTACAGAGTACAGATTGTCTAGGTCGGTGTAGATGACATGGCCGTCACTGAGTGGATCGACGGAAAACACCATGGACGTGATCAAAGACGGTGACACCAAGCATCGCGCCTCTCTTCGTCTAAGTCATACCACAGTCACTCACCTGATGGACAGAGATGGAGCCAGTATTGCAGTACAGTACAAGTGCATCTTCAGGGCCTAGACCTGTTTCTTTCTTCTTCGTAATCGCAGATGCAACGCCGCTCAGGTCAGCAACTGGCACATGCAGATTCCGAGAGAAGAAAAAGAGACGAGCATCCTCCCAGAAACCAAGTACACACGCTCGCTCGCTTCCTCGGTAAGACGTCCAGCGCAGCAGATACCACCCCATGATGCTACTCTACGACTACGACACTACTACTACTACCACCATTCCATCCTACCAAACACTATTATCTTGTACCCCTCTCGTTCAAAAGGGCCGTCGCGAATTTCCCGCTTCTTCTCGGCCGTTATCAAACCCGCGCCGCTGCCGCCTTCACACACCATCTTCGACAATCAAGAGGAGACGTCGGACAACGAGGATACTCCGACAGAGTAATATAGACATAAGAGGTAGACTCAAATACACATCAATTGCAAGAGATGTGCTAATGGGAAATGGGGGAAAAGACAGAGAGTGCAGACAATACCCCCGGCTGCCGTCGTATTCAAACCGCCTGTCATGTTCCTCACCATCCTCATCCGCAAAGTCAGGCATCTTATTACCGCTTCTCTCTTCTCCCAACCCTCTCTTTTGGCAGCATTAGCAAGCCTCTTCCGTTGCCCCGATCCCTGGTTATCTGCGTCTACAGTATGCCGTGTCGCTGTCTGTCCCGCCTCCGGAGCTTACCAAACCTCGTACCAGATGAAGCCCCCTGGCATCTCCACGTTCCTGCATGCTGCACTCACTCTCACTTTCACATTTGGGCGTCATGTTGGTCAAGGATATCTGTCACTTTTTTTCAAACCAAGGAATCATGACATACCCAGCGTAGATGATTGCTGGGATTATTACTATTACCTTACATATAAGTCGGGTGCTTGACAAGGTCCCCAGCCAGCCCAGTGCCCAAGAGCTATGTATGTATGTCATATCACATATTGCCGATGACATCCTTGGACGCGTATGACAAAGAGAAATCAAGAAACTGACCGATTCCCTCGTGTCTCTTGTTGTTTTTCTCCCTCTCTTATCAATCGTAGAATAGGTAGATCGCAATCCCACAGCCAGGAAAACCCACCTCAACTAATACTCCAAACCCTCGCCCATCATGATACTCAGCCCTCCCCTCCAAACATCCCCAACCATTCGGGCTCCCTCACCAACGCATCCACCTTATGTTTGAAACTTGTTCATGATACTACGTGTTTGCATACGTGTTTCTTTCCAGCTCATCGCTTCATCGCACGCTAGGTTACGCCTGCGCCGCCCAGCTGAAAGGGCCATACAACAAGCCCCAGGCCTCAACACAGCAAACCCCATCAATAGCGTCGACTACTACCATGCCAACAATGATCCCATCAAACTCCAATACCATCCAAGCATCTGTCACTCGCAGAACTTACAGCCTTCCATCCGCCACCGCATCTTCACTCATTCATGCCGCACAGCCACCACGCCCACGCCAAGCCTACATGTTTATCCCCCCCTGTTTGCCCATACTATGCCAACGCCCAGGTGGCAACGAATTCTCTCATCCCGTGGTCTGCAGAAAACAAATCAATCAATCAATCAATCCATGCCCTGTCAATCTTCCCTCTTCCACCCCCCTCAAGTCCCAGCAAGACTCCCCTCCGCAGGCCCCAACTCTGCTCTCGCCACGTTAGGCACTCTCCAGTTCTGTCAAAAAGTCGAAAAAAGAAGAAGAAAAATATGAAAAAGAACAAAATGCAGTGCCACCCCCCCTTGTCCAGTATCGTACATTCTCCGTCGGCTTTTCTCCTCACAGTATACGTGCAACGACACGCTCCGAGAGGCTCTCTCTCTCTCTCTCTCCATGCATACCGCAGATTCATTCCTTCATACACTCCTTAGTTGACGTTCTCTCCAGCACAGTACGCAAGATGCCCATTGCTATCCGCACTCCATATGTTCACGTTACCTCGCATAGCAGAAAATCCAACCCCAATCAAAAGCAACAACTCTTTGTTTATTTATTGTCAACTCACCAATAATACAACCCAATCCTCGTTGCCCCCTTTGCAGGTTTTCGTAGTATCGCGTCCTACAACCATGCCCAACCACCTTCCCTTCCCTTCCCACCCAATTCACTCACCCACTCACTCACCCTCCCTATCCCTTGTCAAGAAAGAGAAAAAAGCTCGGATCTCGTCCGCGCAATGTTGCCGAAGCACCCATCCATCCATCCATCCATTCATCCTGCTCGTCCTCTGCCCTCCTATTTTTTTTTTTCCCCTCGCTACTATTCATTGTCATCTTCGTCTTTCATTATTCCCACTTTGCACGAGGTACGCATGAGCTGTCAACAAACACGCTTGACACGGTCACCTGATGGTTGTGAATGCCCTTTCACCTTGGCCCAAAAAAAAAAAAAAAACACACACAATGGACCTCTGAGAGGGAGGGGTGTGAAAGGTGAAGAGCAAAATGGAAAAAACAACAAAAGATCCAAGTTGATACTGTGCTGTCGATGTGGACGCATTCAGACGATAAGAGCCCGATTGTTTGTATACTATTTCGTAAATTCTCTTGGCCATCGAACAAACTCCCGTTGGGAACATGTTCTCGTGTAAGTGATCACCTGCACCAAGGATGAATGAAGCTCGCTGTAGACGCAACAGTCAAGCGTGTGTCCCCTGTTCATCACCTCTTCAATCATCATCCACCCATCCACTCTCCCATGTTTCCCTCCTCATCATCATCCCAAATCAACCCAAAAGTCCCGCTACCGGGCTCTCTTCCAAATGCCATTCATCTCCTCTCTTGAGAGGATACCACTTCGCTTCTCTCTGTCCCGAACCCCCCCGCCAATACCACCCTCCACCGGTTAACAATCTTGCATATCCCCCCTCTTACCGAATGACATTTCCAAGCACCACCATACGTAGCAGCCCGTAAAATCGACCAATCGAAGGGAATCAAAGACGCACATTGCTCTGCTTCGGTAGGCACAAAAAAAACATTACAATTTGAGGAGAAGGCTCTGTATCCCTGTCATTCTCTCATATCGCCGATTTGAACAACGGCAACAAATAAGCGACCGGCCCGGTATGCAAGTGTGAATAGTCAGATTTCAATGTCTTCAGACTACCTAAACTATGTAAAGGTCATCTCGAGAAAAGATGACATTTTGGTATCACCCAGCGAGAACGCCTCGTCTCCGCAGTGTCTCCACGGTCGCTACCAGCTTGCTCTTATTCTCTCTGTATCCCAGAAGCCCATACCCATGCTAGATGCTTCATGAAAAAAACACAGCCATGGAGGTTCTCCATCCTCTCAAAGGCTCCAAACTAGGAAATATAAAATATAAGAAAAGAAAAAGAAAAAACACACACACATCTTGCGCCGAGCCCAATGCCAGCCTGGTATATAGTAGAAAATGCAACCCCCCAACAAGAGGGGGGGTGTGAAGTGTGCAAAAGCGAAGAAATTTGAAAGATGCATCATTCGTCACCTGTCTGCCATCCAGGCAGACATTGTCCACAGAATCTTCGTAATTTCCTCCGAGTAATCCAAGTTGTCCAAGTTGTCCAAAGTGTGTCAAACAGCATCCAAGGCTTTCCCATATCGCACTCATCTCTGTTTAAGAACCGCTGTGAGCCCTGCTTGCCTTGCGGCGTCCTTTTGTATTCCCATGCCAGTAGGGGTATATGTGTAAAATTGTTGAAGATGAAAGAAGATTATAAGAAGGGGAAGTAGAAAAGGTGGCAAATGCCTGCTTTGCCTTTGGGGCGGAAAAGCAAGAACATGGAACAGTGGCTGCTCAGGCAGGCTCTTGTGCTTGTCGTACCTCAAAGACCAGCTTGTCAAGATATGCGCCAAGGTTCGCCTTACATGAGCAGGTAGTCCATGTTCTGCATCCGCATGAGGTCCCGCCAGTGGAGGTATGGCTGGGCCGGCTCAGAGCCCACGCTCTCGGGGGTGCCCATCCTGGACAGGTTGTCGTTGTGAAGCCAGAGGCCGCGCAGCACCATGACCATGCGGCCAAAAGAGCCGCAGTCAGCTTGCTCGCCAAGCTGCGCGACGCGATCCTCAAAGAGGACGCGGAACTCCGAGCCGGGCAGGCTGATGGAGCCGCACAGCAGGTAGACCCAGACCAAGCTGCGGTCATAGCCTTCCGGGCCCGAGGGGATGAATTGCAGGACATTGGTCAGCTTGTCAACGAGCCCCTTGGGCGAGTGCTGCTGGGGGCTGAAGCCGGGCACCAGGCTGCACAGGTAGATGCGTGCCGCCAGGCGAAAGGCGGCCGTGATGTTCTTGGACAGCTGCTTGGGCGACAGCGTGCCGTTGCCGTTGAAGGGCATCTTGGGCGTGTGCTCATTCACCTCGGTAAGGCTGATCTGCTCACCCAGGGCAGACACGTGCTGGCAGAGGGTGAAGTCATCCATACCATCGCGCTTGAGCGACTCGAGGCAGGCAATCTCAGAGATGAGGTACATGACTCGGTCTTCGCAGCCCATCAGCTCGCGCAGGCCCATGGAGGGATTCAGCTGAGACAGGTGCTTCTCGCGGTACGTGTGCGCAAAGGTAGGGGACGTTCCCTGCATGGTGGCACCAAGGATGTCAATCCAGGCGGTCAAGGTCATGTTGAACGGGGTCTGCGTCATCGGCGTGGCAGGATCCAAGACCTGACCGGGGAGGTCCAGCTTGGTGACCAGGTTGATGGCGGCTTGGAAGTGCTGGTGCCACGGAATGTCGAGCAGCTCCTGGCTGGACGAGCGGCCCACGACGCACTGGAAGAAGATGAGCCCAAGGGTGGCCTCGAGAATCTGCTGGTAGTTCTCATCCCGCTTCAGCGATTCGCACAGCGACCAGATGGTCGCGTAGCGGTGTCGCATGATGTCGTGGTCAATGTCTTCGCTGGGGCCGGTCGTCAGGGATTTGAGGTGCTGCGCGGCGATGCTCAGGCAGCAGTGCAGGTAGGTGTTGTTGGACTGCAGAGCGGGGAGGATCAAGTCCGAGGCGACCGATCCGTGCTGGTTTGTCTCCAGAATGGGGAAGATGGTGGGCAAGACAAACTGGATGAAGTGGTCAAACAGGCGCTGGTCGTTCTCGTCCAGCTCGATCTTGACCTGCCTGGAGTCGTACGAGGGCCCGTGAGCAAAGTCAAAGAAGTTGACGTTGAGCGCCTCCTCGGCCAGCGATTCGCGGCGCTCCTCGTGAACATGCTCGACCCAGCTTCCAGGGAGGGCGCCCGACTGCAGGACGGTCCCCGGCGGCGGAGGCGGGCAGTAAGTGCTGAATGTGGAGACTTGGGACTCCTTGAGCGTCGGGATGTCGTTGATGAACATCTGGCGCTCCGTCTTGACATCAATCTCGTACGGCGAGTAGGAGCCGATCATGAACTCGGGGGCGATTTGGGAGTTGTAGGCGGAGTAGTCGGCGTGGTGCATCGGGCCGTTGAAGTTGAAGCCGTTGGAGAAGTGGGAGTCGATGGACGCTGACCTGTTGCGGTCCATGGGATCGGTGTATGTGGCGGATGAGGGCACCGAGTGTGACAGGCCTGGGGGCGATGAAGTGACAGAGGTCGACATGGACGTGTGCGCCGACTTCTCCGACAGCTTCTTGCGCTTGATGATGCCCTTGATGTCCTCCTTGTGCTTCTTGCGCGCATCGTTGTTGCTCCACCACATGGGCCGCTTGTATTCGCATGCCAGGCCAAGGTGCTTGCAAGCTGTGCAAAGAGGCGTGCCCTCGTCGCACTTCTTGCGTCGTAATCTGCAGGTGTAGCAGCCTGGGGGGGTTGGCGTCGCGTGTTAGTCCCTCGTCTGCAGCGTTTGAATTTCATGGCAGGGAATAAAGCGAGGAGCAGGTCGAAATGGGGTGATGGTGAAGAGAAAGGCCAAAGAATGGGAAATGTGCCGAATGCGGCCCGTGTGTAAGACGGCTGCCGCCCAGCATCGTGAGATTGAGACCCGACATACCTGTTCTTGAGCGGCGGTGCATCTGCGCGCCGCGGCGAGTTGCGCCATTGCTGGCTTTGGGCGCCGTCTTGGCCTTCCCAGACTGCGAAACGGCCATGTGTACGGAATTCATTGAGGTTCTTGACAAGATATTGTGGTGATTGGGGGGCAGAGAAGACATTTGTAGTAGCTTGCGATGCTCAACACCACAGGGTACCTTCTCTCGAGTGCCAGGGGGGAGGGGTGTCTCTTGCACAGTCCGCCAAAGGGGGGTGGGATACGGTGCTGGGCAGCGAAATGCTCGCACTGTCTGTCTGTCCTTTGTTGTGGGCCTGGGCAAGGAGCGGGACGAAGAGCAAATCCAGTCAAAGCCGCCGCTTGTGGTGTCCGGGGGGTTGAAGCTCTCGGACGATGGATAGAGGCGATAAGGGCCGGAGTGGACTGTTGCCAGACAAGGAAGTCAAGTGAGGCTGTCCTGCCAGAGCTGGTGGTTCGGACCCGAGGTTGGAGATGGTACTATTAGATTAGATTCGGCCCTGTCTTTGCAGAGCTGAGTGGTCGGTCTAAGTCGTGGGGAACCGTCGTGTCAAACAACGGCCGCTCTTGTTTCGTCCGTCAACGGAGTCTAGTGAGATTGTGCGAAATGAAGCTGAATGTGCGTATAGAGAACGACTGGTTCCAAGCAAGTCCGGCTTGCTCTTCACTGGAAATGATGGTGTTGATGATGCTGATAATGATGCCTGATCAAACGAGGACGAGGACGCGGGCGGCGGAGGGGGAGAAATGGGGTTAAAAAGAGGAGGGAAAGCCTTTTGGCGACAACTTGGACACTCTCACCTTTGCTCCAGCAGAAGAAGAAAAGAGGGCTAAATTCGAAGAGCAGGATAGGACGCGACTTATATCATGGCCTCGAGAATCGCGGCCAAGCGTCCAGGACCATCTCGACCGCTTCCGCAGGGAGGTTTTTGCAGCTCATGTTGCTATTTTTGAAAATCAAATGGCACTAATTATGCCCATCTGGACACCAAGACGCTTGTGTCCAGAGCTGCGCTTAGAGCAGCCAATGGGCATCGTCCAGGGACCGCTTGCTTGGGTCATCAACGGCGGTGGAGGTGCGGAAGAGAAGCTCTTTAGTGGGAGCTGCTGGCCGGGGTCAGACCAACCACCAAGAGGAGAAAAACTTGACGTGGATGCCTGTCTAGACCTGCGGACATGTCACCCACACCGAACGCCACAACGGAAAGCATTGGGCAATAGCTGAATGCCGTACCTTGACCATGCTCGAGAACTAGCAGCTGCTGCTGCAGTATCATGCACAGAGAGTCCAGGTTTCCGTTCCCAAGACGCGCAGCCCAAGGCCATTGAGACAGGCCAAGGGTGAAAAGCCTGCGGCCACCTGGCCTGGACCTCTGGAACGATGACGCCGTAGACAGCATGATGCCAGCAGTGGCACCACCAATGTACAGCTAGTATGCACATCCATGATCCCCGTGGAAACGTGGGCAGTAGTTCGGCGACGAGAAAGCCATACCCGATGCCTTGTAGCCGGTGTCGGTCATCCCCAACAGATGGCCATGTGTGCATCAACGCACCACATTGTGTGTTTGGGGGTGCAGCATATATGCGCCATCCAGGACTGGTCCTCCATTCAACGGCCAGAATCGCTTCACCATGTGCGTCGTTCAACATGCTGCGTCGTTCAATATGCCGCGAACGAGCAGGTACCTTGCCTTGTGCTTGGGAACGCAATCCAACATGCAGCTGCAGCCCAATGTACACAGGGCTCACTTTCGAGCTCCCAAGTACAACGAAAAGCAGAGGAGAACTAACAGGGTTGCCCTCCCTCTCATTACTGTCCAAGGCCTCACCCGCACCGGCGACTCACAGCGAATCTGGGCGGAGCAAGCCGCAGATCGAACCCTGGCGCAAAAGCATGATGGTGTCGTCTTCTCTACTAGTACTGTAGTGGAAGAGTTTGCGTCTCCGCAGTACATACCTTTTCGAGTCACTGCTGATAATGGTTTTCTGGTACGTAACTGGGAGCCCAAGCAGATGCCCAGCAACTGCATGTTCGTGTTGGACAGACACCTGCCCAAAGCATCAGATTTCACAGGGCAATTGTCACTCTCAACTGTTGGCTGCGAGTTGCTCAGCGTTGTAACCACCTACTCGTACGAAGTGTGCCGGCTGGATTGTTGCAACAGTGCTAAGGCGGCGTAATGCTCGTACGAAGCAGGTACGGGAACCCTCTATAACTGTCAGGAGCCAAAATCGACAGAGGAGGAGGCTGGGTACACACGAGATGGTAATCTCTCTGCGTTGACAAGTAGGTACGAGTAATAGCTTCCGTCACCACGGGCAGTTGTTGGGTCCCATCAATTGCTGCCTGGGGCTCCAGCCATGATGTCGAGAGAGCAGGGAGAGAGTCGTGGAGAGCGTTTCCGTGGGAGGAGCCGGAACCCTGGCTGGTCATTCCGAGCTCAATTGCAGCAGCTGGGCAGTGGTACGAGGGCTTCGTGCTGCTCGTTCTCTCTTGTTCTCCCTGCAGATGCCGAGCACAGGTACGGAGTACGAATACTGTATGCGGGTGGCTGCGGTGTTGCAGGGCCAGGCGCAGGTACCTCGTACGGGGGGAACCTGTACGACTCGTGCAGCTACGGCAATCCGCAGGTGTTGTTATGATGAGAAGCGCAAGGGTAACCAGGAACGATGCCGAGAGCGATGCCCATACGAAAAGTACACATGTACACACGGAGAAACGAGACCCTGGGACTGTCGGTCGAGCTGGGAAACGGGACAAGGATGAGGTTGCTTCTGTGGCGGCAGAGTTGCGTGTTTAGTGGGCTGGGCCGCTGAGCGAGGATAGAGCTTCCGGGCGCGCTGATTGGACAGCTGGCTGTGATGAAAAGCTGGTCCGTGCAGCAAACGGCAGGGGCCGCGGGACCAACCGACTGTAGCGCCTGCACAGGTCAAGGACCAATCCTTGCGCGCAGCCCGGCTGACGATCGAGATTGGCTCACTCGGGCTGGTGGCATTCCGCACTAGCAGGGAGCGGGCTGCGAGAAACATCCAATCGCATGCGTGGGGAGCCGCTGTGGGGTCCAAGTCCGCACTTTGGACCGATCGCAGGTGAGGAGAGGGCGGACGGACGGCTCCTGCTCTCTGATGGCTGACTCACTTGTCACTGAGCGAATAAAGCAGAACAGGGTGGGATCGTTCCTTCCGGAGGGTAGCATCGGGAAGTTGAGTGCTGCCGCTCTTGCTGTTTTCGAGATAGGACTGAGATAACGCGAGAAGATCCAAGAGCCATTTGCCTAAAACGGTTGAATCGAGAGAATGCCGGTCGTGTTGAGGGAGAGACGAGGATTTTGCAGCCGTTGACAATGCGTCGTGCCACTGCATCTGATATGTAATATGTACGAGTACCTATATTCTCAACGAGTTGTGCGTTCAGGTAATAGCACCTGAGATGAGCAGTACTGGTATCAGAGGTCATACAACATGCAATATCATGTAGGAGGCAGGTACAATACAGTACGGAGTGCTTCGTGCCTTCTTTCACCTCGCCGTGAGTTGACGCTTGGATAGCTCGGTCCCTAGGGATCTGCAACGCACCTGCTTGGTGCGCCATAGCACGAGCAAATGAGACAAGTAACGGCTCTGCTCCTCTTTCCTCCTCCAGGGCTCCTCCTTCCCTCAGGTCTCTGGGCCACAAGCCCCGGCAGATTCTAGATTCCCCCGAGAGTCATTTTAACCCCTCACTTCGATTCAATTCCGGGCTAAATTTGGCAGCTAACACTCAAGCTGTCCCCAGCTGGGCGCTTACAAGCATACCTTACCTTACAGTAAGGTACATACCTAAGGTACCTACCTAGATACGCTCCTCCCGCTGCTTGTCGTGACGCGGCAGATCACGGCCGTCACAGCACGTGTTCAGGCATGGTCATCGTGCAAGCCGGCAGATGTGCTGCTATTTTTAATTTAACCCTGATTCCTGCTGCTGCTGCTGCTGCTGCTGCTGCTGTTGTTGGCCATTTCGGCATAATCTTGCCCCCCCTCCAGCGAGATCTCCGCCCTTCCGCCCATGCGCGGATGCATCTTGCGTCTGATCTCGGCTGTCGTGAACCGTTAAGCGCCCAGGCCAACAGACATGTGCCATGCACCTCAATCAGTCGCTTGCCGGCCGCGAACACTATCTGTCTCGTACAGAGTACCACGCAGTAATACCGATCTGGTGGCCTGAGGAAGACTCTACTACTACTAGTAGTATCACTGAGGATAGGTTTGTGATATGTATGTCCTCGACGCAGATGGCGTGCAGAAGCGCCCCGAACTCGCTTATCCTCGTCACATCGCTTCTGTCGCTTCTCCTGCCTTTGTCCTTGGGGCAGTATAAAGCCAGACGGCCTCGCGCTCGCTAACTTCATTGCAATTTCTGCCGAAGCTGTGTATGACTAGACTGGCAGTTGGCCGGATACACCATGATCTTCAGCACCGCCCGAGCGTCTACTGTTGTTGGATCTTGCGGGAGGTCCCGCGTTTCTTAGCATCGGCTTTTGGTGGTAGTGTCTACCTACCTTACACTCGGCAACTAAGCATGGCACTACTCTCTCGCTACATTTCGTGCGCCGTGTACCAAGTATACCGTCGCTATCTCAGATACTAAGGCCGTACGACCAATACACCGCGATTTCGAGCCACGAGCCTTGTCTAAATACCCGCGAGCGAGTTGAGGGTCTGTCGGGCTGCCCTTGGGCTGATATTCCAGGGTACGGCCAGACGCTGGCCATCTGCCACCGCGCTTTACATCATGGTCTCTGCTCCCTGTCCGACCTCCCATGCCTCGATCGCTCTATTGTCGGCTCCCTGCGCAAACCTGTCCGAGTCTCGGCTGCTCGCCGCAACCCCTCACTTCCCGGTCGACCGATCGCAACCGTATTAGTAGGTAGTACGGAAGTTCTGGCCACAGTTCTTTGATTCACCTCTCTGTTCTCTAGCACAACTGGGTGGGAATTGTGCTAGGCGGGTGGTTTTGAAATTTGGTTTGCAAAGTGGGTGACCCAGGGTCCGCTGCTCTCAGTGTCGAGCCCAGCTCCGCCGGCTGAGAAGCCTAATTCC